CTCCTCAAGGATCTCCTCGCATTCGTCCTCTCCCTCGACATTTTCCTCCACAAGTGGTGTTGCTGCGGGGCTTGCAATGACCGGCTTGACCATCTTGGGCAATTCGCTAAATGTTACATTGTCATCGATGTCTAACAATGATATCTGTTCTCTACCGGGAGTGCTTGAAGACGCGGATGGAGGAGAAGGCGATAAAGCGGGTACGTCTGAGATGCCTATATCAAGGAGTTGATCGATGATGCTCTCGCTACTCTCCGCGCTTGCGTGGCCAGTGGAAGGACCCGCAGTGGAGATTGGCTGAGCGTGCGATGCATTGGCTGCGCGTTCCTCGTCTGTGAATAGGCCGAACGGGTCTTCGTACAGGGTATCAGGTTTATCTGCAGCCTGTCGGACCTTGGCCGGGCCATGTTCCACAGGATCGGGGTTGAGTGCTGCAGGTTGATAGACATCGTAAAGCCCACGTGCAACTCTACCCAGTATATGGGGAAGAATCCAGGGAAAGCTGATAAGAGGCAGTTGATTTATCTTGGGAGTTCCATGTTGTGGAGATTTCTCACGATGCTTCCTGAGCGCCTGGGTCATTTCTTCATGCGTGACACGGTACATCGCGACTGCTAGTGGTGCGAGCAGCTCGAATGTTCTACCTTCTACCTTGTTGTAGCATTGCTTTCTGAAAGTTTCGCGGTGCGCGGCTGAAATTGCACCAATCTCTTCGTGGAATTTGTAGTCCTTGCTCATTTGTGAATGATTAAGGATAAAGGTAGACCAAATTTCAAATTCGGTCTTGATCTCGTGCTGTGCCATGATCCGCCGTATGGCTGTGTCGTGTTCGACCTTGAGATTCTTTGCGAATGTATAGAGGTCTTCGTTGACTTCGATCGAACAGTTCAGGATACGCTCGTCGAAAGGCATCTCCAGGCTTGGCACGAAGTCCACCCTCTCCACGGCGTCATAAAGCTGACCGAGGATCTTTTCGGAGTGATAAATTAGGTCTTTCGGCTTAGGCTTCTCCATGAAGTGAGGCCACCTTCGTGGCTGAAGATTGCGGGTCATGATAGCCGGTCTTCCTGTCTTGTTGTAGTCTACAGCATCGGAATGGAGCTGAGCCAGCCGGATACACTTTTCTTCGTTGACGCCATCCTCAAGCTGATCTGCCCAGGCAACATGGGCGTGAGCGATCGTTGGAAGGCTGTCATTTTTCATGTACATGACGAAGAAAGAAGTGACCTCATCGACGGTGACATCGTGGTCTAGATCCTGGGCCTTGTTGCTTGTATAGCGCATTGGGTCTAGGAACCAATCCTTGTGAATTAGATCCTGATCCCAGATAATCAGGTAGTCATCACCATCGAGGTCTCCACCGGAACACATGCTGGCGATATCTCGATCGCCGGTTTGCGGTAAGACGACCACATCACGGAGGCTGTGCAACTCAGGCACGTTGACTGCCCTGACCACACGAATGTCACCTGGGTGAAGAGAGGGATTTCGTGCCAATATACAGAGCCCTTCGATGACTTCATATGTTGCACCGTCCTCGGAGGCTTCTGAACGAGGAATCTGAAGAAATATCTCTGGTAATGCTGCCAGCTTCTGCTCGAGAGAAGCGTCTTTCTTTGGTATCTTATCATAGAAGTAGCCCTTGAGAATCCCCGTCTCATCCATAACTCCTAGTAGATTTGTGCCTTTATCAATAACAATCTTCGCCTTTTCCTTCAAATACTTGATATGCCAGGTCCGCCACAATGCTAGGATAGATGTGAGGAATGGCTCCTTAGATCGCCGGAAACCATCAGATACCATTTGACTGACGGTCAGAGTCGTCTGATTCGGATCAACGTACTTTTTGAGTACCTCGATTGCTCGGGAGTCACTTTCCATGGCCTCATCGAGAGCACGCAGCATGGACTTGAGCTTAGCATGAAACACCTCGTCGGGAACCCCGAGGGTAGACATGACAAGTATCAGCTGGCGGTTCAAAGTAGCCATTGAGAACTGAGACCATCGAATAATATCCAAGCCATTATGGACGGTCGGAAACTTATTTTGACTCTCTCGAATGTGGATCTCTTGCGGCTGGGCATCGGAAGAAACAGCAAGCATACCCTTACAGCCCCCGAGACGGAACTGAAAAGCCGATGGAGGCTCGCCCGTTGGCGTCTTGATCTTAAGCTCCGTCATTGCCATTTGCGCAAGGAACCTCGAGATCTTTCCGACCCCATCTGAAAAGGTGTAGCCATTTCTTTCCACATCAGGAATATTGCGTATCTGTACCGGACAGCCAGCTACTGCTCGAGTTGTTGAGAAACATTGGCCTAGTCGTGCTGCGTATTTGGCCACATTGCGAATATCACTGAAATGACCCATCCAAGCACGGATATTGGCTGCTGTAAGATCAGGCAATGGAGCAAAGAAGTAGGCCCCATGCTCGCGGAATTGGGAGTTTCCGAAAGCAAGAAATTCGTACCGTCTGTCTCCAATGACAATGCCATTTGCCAGTGCTCGCTTGATGCGAGTGAATATCTCATCATTAGAATTATCACTTCTAGCATTGATGCGACCATAAAGTTTCTCATCCGTGAATCGAACCCTGAGGAAGCGATCCGCATGTTCCATGTAACGCCTAATAATCCGGTTCGAGATGTCCACTGACGGTAGATTATAGTATACGGTGCTGGGTGTGATTGTGGCAGATCGCATGTGACAGCAGTACGGAGGTATCTTTGCCTTGGTGGCTCTAATGCCTCTGACAAAAGGAAGGTCAAATATCTTCATAGGGTCGTAATACTGGTGTTTTTGGCCTGCCACATTCTCCAGAAGTTTTCTTGCCTTTGCTTCCCCGAGCTCAGCCAATTTGACAGCGAACTCATGCGTCATGGTAAACTCGGAAAGGTAGCCATTAGAAATACAAACTTCAAGCTGATACCGAACGGGGAAGGGCAGAGGGACATAAGTAGAATCAATCAGGTCATTCAATGACGAAACTGACAAATTTGAGGCATCGGATAGATCGATCCACTTCCACACAGGCGGCACCCTCTCTTGTCTATCGTCCCATTGGATAAAGCGGTCTGTGTCCTCAATAGCGATATTATAATCCCGGAAAATTGCACAAAGCTGAGTGAAGAGCTCCTTCTTGCAATCGCTAGGATAACTGATTCTGAAGGCATTCCATCGACCTGCGGGAAATTGAAAAGTTAGCCAGAGGAAAGACAAAAGTGATCAAGAGGACTAAGTTTTGGATAGGAAACGAGGTAGCGCATACCTATGTCTATGAGAGGTTTTTGCCTTGGCAAGCTGACTGGAAGCGTAGATAAGCTGAGAGGATTGTGGACAATATGTGTCTGCCGGTACCAGCAGTCCGAGTCTCTCCAGCTTCCTGGCTCATGGAAGGTGGCATTTATATCGCTGATTCGGCGGTGGTACATGGGAGGGGAGTCGAGCACGGTCAAGTGAGATATGACCCTAGTTGTAATATTGCACGACTGGAAGATTTTGCCCAGCTGCCTTAGGGGAATCCTAAGACGATAGTTGTGCCATGTATCCGGTGCAGACGTTGAGGTTGACTTATTACCGGAACTGAGTATCTGGAGCTGGAAGAAGACGTGCAGCTCCCTCAACTTCAGATTGAGTAGCAGGAAGGGTTTCCCGAGTGGACCGGCTTCGATTGTCCGCATTGGTAGAAGTGTTGTTTCGTTGAGCATAACTCCAATATCCAGTGAGGAGATCGGGATCGTCTGAAAGAGAAGGTACACCAGATGAGAGTTGAACTTCTGTGTTTGCGGTTGGAAATACTTACGAGCTCGGCTGGATAGCGGACGTTGGGACGAACGGGACTCGGAATTTCAAGCTCTGAGGGCCTGGGCGCTTCGAGAGTTACAAATATGCGTCCCTCTTGTCCGCTCGGTAGCTTTATACTGTAAGAACCGCTTTTCCAGAAATCGGTACGCGGTGGCGGTCTGGTGGATAGTTAGTGATGACTGAAAATTTCAAGACATAAAGGAAGACCAACTTAAAGCGAATTTTCCCCCTCGACTCCAACTGGCCATGATGGTCTTCATAAATGTCAATCGAAAAGATTGTGCCTTCGCTTTTAAATGTCTGCCAGATAGTGCGGGCAGTGACTTGGCGAGGCAGCCCAGTAAGTTTTATCCCAACACTAGCCCACGATCTCCATGGAGCTGGAGGAGGCAGTATGTTATGGAGACGTTGTTGTCCCCTCGGCTGCTTCCCTTGCCCCCTCGAGTATGCTCCCTGGACCCCCATATGCTGTTGCTTGCCTCGATAGGGCATGGCTGCTGCAGGCTGGGCAGACTTAGGGGCGGATGAGGCGTGTGAGGGAAAGGGGGCAGAAGGATATAGCGGAGGGAGAGGGGAATGTGGAAGGGAAGACGAGGAGAGAAAAGGAGAGGAAGAGGAAGAAGAAGAAGAAACCGGTGGTGAAGGGAGGGGGAAGTGAGGTGAGGAAGAAGGTGAGCTGGCAGTGAAGTGAGGAAGAGCCCGGGAGATAGAGGAAGACGGAGAGAGAAAGAGAGAGACATCGGGAGAATTGGCTCTTGAGTGAAGCTCACTCCCGCTGTCCGGGGATAGAAGTTCGCAATCATCTTCTGAATGCATCTCCATCAGCTTCCACTGTTCAGTAAGATTTCCTGCTCACCCGGTTCTGTTCCTACTGACTATCCGATTTACTGGAAGTCTTAGTGATTTGATAGACCAGGTACATAGAAGAGCACTGTGGCTGGCATCGCAAACAAGACTAGACTGAGTGCACATACACTGATCATTTGAGCCGGGAAGTAGAACTAAAGCAGAAAGGGAAAGTTCCCGTGGCAGCTGGGGCTTTTTCTAGTTCATCTCCAGTGTTAAATATGTCTTAGCTATGTGGCTCGACCAGTCGGAAACTTCCTGCGGGAACCAACCATAGTCCAGGATAGAGTTGAAAAGTGAATGAGGCGAAATAAGCCACAGCGATTGCATATTCCCCTGTGGAAGTTGAATTCTCACAGTGACACACCATTAAGTGGAGCTTCCGGGCGTTTGGCCATGGCCCTTCTACTCTTCAGATGCGCCGCCACGGAGCAGCCTGACCGGGGGCTGCAGGCCGAGAGTTCAATGTGGCTTGGATGAACACGAATGCTATGGATAGCGGTCCAATATTCTAGGCTTAGCCCCTGATTTAGGTACTTTAGAACCGGACAAATCGGACTAAGTGCGTCTGAATGATTGTAGCTAGGCCATCATACCAACTAACATGCTATATACAGATATTTCAATTCTTGTAAGTCTCGTACTACTGCTGTGTCTGTGAGTATGGAATGGGATCATTGGTCGCTGATAAAGATGTGCTTGTGAAGAGGAAGTCTTTTGAAAACTCCAGGTCCATGTCCAGGTCTATTTGCTGAAGTTGGTTCTCCTCCAGGCTGCCACGAGTCCGAACTTGGTCAGAAGTGCCACATTCGCTGCGCTGCGACGCGGGACTCCGCTGTCCGCCCGGCTGGCTATTCAAGTCGGCATCTTCGAGGGGTGTTCGTCTGTGCTGGGGTGTTACATTCCTCGACTTCCTGCCGACCCTCATGTGTTGCGATGATGAATCAGTCGCGGGAAATGCATTATCTATAGTCCTCTTCGGACTACGGCTGGTAGGGGAAGACAAGCTATTTTCGAATGGTTCCACCTGTGAGTTCCCAGGCTGGGTTTGCAAATCGTCCTCCGTCGGCGGCGTTTGCTGTGTTGTGGCTGTCTGGGAGGACCTTGCACCAGGCTTCCTCGTCTGTTTGTTCTCGGGCCTCGTCCCGTCGGTCTCGACCCGGATCCCCATAACATTCATTAGGCGTCCGATATGTTGCTGGGCTTCAGAGAACTCGCGGGCTTTGGCTGCTCGTTCATTCCGTAGTTGTTGCACCTATAGTGACATATAAGTGAATGCTCAAGCACACAGATAGGGAGAAATCTTCGCATCCCTCTGGTCGATCCTTGTCTTACCTTCTTCTCCAGGTGGTGTATCCGCTTATCCTTCGTTTGCAGCTCCTTGGTGGCGTCGGATGCGGCAGCCTGCATATCCATCCGCAGCGCGAACATTTCTTCCTTTTGGGCCTCGTACTATTAAATATGCATTAGAAAGCGAGCTCCCCGTACACAATCGATCCATTAATCGTACCTTTGCATTTGCCGCCGAAAGTTGAGTCTCATAATCTCTGACAGTTTCTCGTTCCCCTCGAAGGTGCCCCTCGGCTTTGTCAAGCGCGGACGCCAACCTGTTGGATTCCGTCTTCTCTTCATCAAGCTGCCGAACCGATTAGTATCTTTTTATTCCTGCCGTAGGGATATTAGGAATTCTACCTGAATCCGAAGGGCTTCAATTTCCCTCTCAATTTCTGCTTTCTCGGTCAGAATCTGCCTTTGGTCTTCGTCCTTCTGGACTAAAAGCACTTCGCATTGTCTGAGTTTCTCTTCGAGCCCCTCCAAGTTCTGATTGAGGGATCCGTTCGTCTCAAGTAAGGACAACTTCTCTTTCGAGGTTTCACCTAGCGCGTTCTGCAGGTTTGTATTCTCCGTTCTTTGAGCCATGATTTCCTCCTGCAACGCTTCCAGCTGATCATCCCTTTCAGTTATAGATGCGATCAAGTCCAGCTCCCTAGTGCGGGCCTTTTCTACCTCGCTTGCCATGGTATCTTGGGACTCGCGCTTCTGATCTGCAAGGTCTCTTCGAGCTGCGTCGAGAGTTGCCGATAATTCTTCAGCGCGAATGGACGCAGCTTCCGCATGAGTCTCTAACCGAGAGATTTCCAGCCGAAGCCTGCCAATTGTATCGGATGCTTGTTGCAACTGCAGCTCCAATGCGCTATTCTGCTCTTGCAGATGCTGCGCGTCAGCTGAAATCGCGTTCCGCTCTTGCTCCATCGCCCGCAGTGGGGCTTCAACATTATCACATCGTTGCTCGAGATCATAGCACACCTCCTCCATCTTACGCATAATACTGTCATTCGATGCACGCGCATTGAGCATGAGTGCTTCTGACACAGAGGATCTCCAATCAGACCGCGAACTGGGACCGGAAAGGTCCCCACGGACGTTGAGTGGCGGATAGGTTTTGGCGGTCCGAATTGGTTCAGTTTCCGAGAATGAGCATTTATGCTTATGCAATAACTGCTTGTTTTGAGCCAGAAACATCTGCAAGGTCGCATTCCCAGCTATTGTGTCCTGGGTTTTGGTCTGTGATAGCACTGCATGGAGGTGGAAGGATAAAAAGTCGTATATTAGCTCATTCTCCAGTTGCGAACGTGCAACTCCGCATGTATGAGCGCCATGGCATGGTGATGAGAAGGGTTCCCTGGGAAAACTTTCAATTGTCTTCCACATGACTTGCTGGCATTGTTCAAGAGGTTCCGCAAATATAGCGGAGTTCAAGGATGCAGAATGCAGCCCTGTAACCAACGATTTAGCCACTAAAACATGAGCCAAGCTCGGAGAGCTGGTGGTATCTAAAGAAGAGACGATATATTCAAGCAGACTGCGTATCGCAGTCACCCCTAAACACGCCTTAAATATGGTTAGTATAGCCTCAAATGGCAACATGGGTCTACTTACCACACTTGCCCCTACAAGTCGCGGTATATACTCCAATGTCAGCACACCGAACACGAATTTGCTGTCTTGATTCATAAGCCTATCGACCGCAACTCGGGCTATATCGGTTGATAAAGTTGCAACTGGAAGCAGCGATGCCAGGAATGTCGCTCCCTAAATATAATTAGTAAACGTCCACTATTGTTATAATTTGGAGAAACCAGACATACTAGCAGTTGAACACCAGGGTCAATACCACTTCTGGTAATCTTCTCTCGTAACTTGGCAATCTTGGAGGCGTTTGCCTTAATCCAGGTGTCTCTCTGTTCTTGCTCGACTCTATCGCAAATCTCGATCGCCAAGCGGATACTCTCGGCTGCCTGGTCTACCGTTAAATCGCTGCAGCTATCAGAGCAAGCGAGGATAACGCGCAGGACGACAAGGTCCAAAGTTTTCAAGCCACGCTTGGGACCAAAGAAATGGTTAACACTTTGCAACCACAACGGAACAAACCGCACACAACCTTTCTCGGACCCAGAATCTTCTAAGGATGCCATGCGTGCAAAAGTTGCTAGACAAAGAAGATTTCCCATGTGGTCACTCAGGTTACGCAGCGTTTTCGTAAGCTCTACCTGAAGACTAGCCATCAATTCAGACGGGATCTCTTCGAGGAGCCGAGGTGACCTTCTAATGCCATTGGAGATTTGGTTCAGAGGTAGAATGTTTTCGGCGCGGGGATCCTCTCCCATTGTACGTATCATCTTCTCCATGAACAGTGTCAAGCGTGCCGGAATTATAAACTCGGGCGGTAGAGGAGACGATAGGATCGCGGTGCACACCAAGGCATACTGTGAAAGTGAGTGGATGAAGTCCGTAGCTCAACAGCATTGCTAGACACATGTGGCTGGCAGTTTTGCTTTGGGTAAGGGGCGAACAAACCTCAGACTTGTCATCGTCGGTAGCACCTTGAAGGAACTGATCAAGAAGACATGGATGTCGCTCGAGCAGAACATCCCTGACGGTTGGAACCGGTACTGCCTATATTTAGCCAAGCTAACGCAACTAGATACAGATGATGTGCTCACCAAAGATTGTAAGTAGAGGCAACGCGAAACGAGAGCGCGATAGACCATCGACAAGCACGTCAACTAGAGCCCCAATTTGACACGGCTTGTGAGAGGCCCACAGTTGAATGGATTGTGACGTTGTAGACTGCGCCAAACTATACAAGTCCTGTGTTCCAAATGGGTCAGTTACTAACGCATTGACCTAAGACACTCGCGTGGAGCGGCGGAATTTACCTGGAGTGAAGGTGCATAAGGCGCCGTAACAAGGCGCTCCACTTCGCGACTCAAGCGAATAATCTGTTGATCTGCCATGTCTGCTATACAACCTGACTCCATACATGGAGTACCCATGGACTGATCAATAAGGATCAAAGATAATATGGGGTTGTGCCGTTCCCCACGAGGTTATCATTAGCTTGTCTTCCGACTGCGGTGGGAAAGATTTGATGTTCTGTAGCCGGTTGCCCCATCAACAACGCGGCGCGGGCCATATGGAGCCCGGCAGATAAGCAAGTGGAGACAATGAGCATGATGCAAGAATAGCCGATGATTGCTTTATCAGAAGGTTCAATCGAGCTCTGTATAACTACTTATGTTGTCCCTCAGGGTGACAAGGTATAGCTGTCTTGCAGGATGATCTGCCTTTTTCGGTCCAATCCGAGCAATGGGTGCCTGTTCCTGCCAAGTCGTAGCCTGCCTGTGTTCCTGAGGCACCATCGGAGTTTTGGCCGATCGCGTCCAACTTCGGATCTACAAAGATGGACGATAAGCAGCCACCCCTCAAACGTGGGGATCAATCATCGTTGCTCACCATTCCCTAACGTGGGGGTGAACCTATTTTTCCGCACCTCTAGACTTGGACAAGAGCATTTCCGCTATCCAGCAAAGGCTGAGCAGTGGCATTCTACTCGGCCTATTTCCGATAGCTGCTGTACGTCTCATCCTTAGCTCCGATGACGTTTCTCCTCGCGCCGAGGCCAAGCTCCCATAGCGGACTACTACTGGATAATCAAAGACCCCATTTCGGTCCACGAAGCCTAGTATGTCTTTTCTAACCGGCTTTGGGCTGTAATATATATTGCTCAATTCCAACCCTTGATCTTACTGATAGCAATAATCTTCACTCCCTGTCGATCCGAGCTCGTTGGACCATGCGGCCGCTCAGCCAGGTGCCTCGGGCTTTCCCCGCACATCTCCGCGCGCTTCAATGCCGGCCCAGCACCCTCTCACCACGCCAGTTCTTTCCTCAACAAGCAGTGCGTTGGGCTAGTCAAAAGACAGGACATAAGAGCGACGGTAATGCAGGACAGGGAAATGATGCCAATACTGGGCCTTCTGGCAACCCTTCAGGTTCTCGGACTTCAGGCAGGACCCTGTTAGCCTCTGCCTTGGCTGCAGGCGTCGGCTATGCATATGCTGCGACGAGCGGACAGTCCCAGTCTCTGAATAGCAAGCAACCCCAGTATGGATCTGCGAAGGATTTTGAGAAGGTAGGGAACTGTCCAGCTCTCCCGTGTTCCCAATATATATAGTAGTATATTATGTGCACTTGACTGAACGTCTGTTTGAACAAACAGGCCATTGCAGAACTGCGAGCCACGCTAGGCGAAGAGGTCATCAGCACCGACCAAGACGATCTTCAAGAACATGGGTTTTCAGAATGGTCCAGCGTCAATGCTGATCGTCTGCCAGTTGCCATTGCCTACCCGGCGAATACAGACGACGTTTCAAAAATCGCTAAGATATGTCATAAATACAAGATGCCAATGATACCCTACTCCGGAGGTTCTAGTCTGGAGGCCAATTTTTCGGCCCCTCTCGGCGGGTTGACCATTGATTTCGTGACGATGAACAAGATACTCGAGTTGCACGAATCTGATATGGACGTTGTAGTTCAACCGTCCATTCAGTGGATGGATCTGAATGAGAAGATTAAGGACAGCGGTCTCTTCTTCCCCGTTGACCCTGGACCGTCTGCAATGATAGGTGGTATGATTGGAACAAACTGCAGTGGAACCAATGCCGTGAGATACGGGACCATGAAAGATTGGGTAATCAACCTTACTGTCGTGCTGGCAGATGGTCGTGTCATCAAGACACGCCGACGTCCACGCAAAACTTCAGCCGGGTATAACCTGACGGGAATGTTTGTTGGGTCTGAAGGAACACTTGGTATTGTGACTGAAGCTACCCTGAAATTGACGCCAATTCCAGAGCAGACTCGCGTCGGCGTGGTGACCTTCCCCACTATACGTGATGCTGCATCCACTGCCATGCAGCTCGTTCGAAAAGGGATTCAAGTACAGTGCATGGAGATTCTTGATGAGATACAGATGGATGTCATCAACCGCGCTGGAGGAACTGGAAGAACATGGAAGAAATTGCCCACTCTGTTCTTCAAGTTCTCCGGCACCAAGGCGGGGGTCGCGGACAGTATTAATCTGACTAAAGCACTAGCAAAGAACAACAACGCAAGCTCGTTTGAATTTGCAAGAGATGAGCGAGAAGCACATGATTTATGGTCTGCGCGAAAACAATCGCTATGGAGTATGCTGGCGCTAAGAGAGCGAGGATCCGAAGTATGGTCAACCGACGTTTCCGTACCGATCTCTAGATTGCCAGACATTATTGGTATGTTTTTTCATGGCCCAGTACTGGACGTTAGCTGATCATAGTAGAAATCTCCAAGAAAGAACTCGATGACCTTGGAATCTTTGCCAGTATCCTCGGGCATATTGGAGATGGTAACTTCCACGCAAGCATCTTATATGATCGCACTATCCAAGAAGAAAGGGAGCGAGTAGAAAAGGTTGTGTACGACATGGTTGATCGTGCATTGGAAATGGAAGGCTCTTGCACTGTAAGACATCTGCAACCTGAACTTGTATCTGAACGCATGACTGACTAGTTACCAGGGTGAACATGGTGTGGGATTGGGGAAGAAAGATTCGCTGAAGAAGGAGCTTGGCCCAGCTACGATTGGAATTATGCGTTCTATCAAGAAGTCTCTCGACCCACACTGGTTATTGAACCCTGGCAAGATCTTCGATTATGAGGACGAAGCATAGATGGAGCATTCTAGTCTTTCAACTGAGGATGACATATGCACAGTCAATAACTATGGATGGACAGAATAATGTACATATCAAAGGCTAGAATCATAGCAACTATGTCTCTTTCAACCATATTGACCCCATCTTTGGTCTAGTGCAAGGGCCTAAAATGATGCCATTCTCATTTCTATAAGATCGGAGCAATCAGCCAATCATAATGGCGCAAAAGCTGCGGGATGGTTAGTCAGTCACTAGTGAGGGCTGAGTCACAGCGGGGCAGATGTGCTCCGGAGCGATATCGCAGTTTTAATCAGTAACGCCACTCTTGTCCCTCTCCAACTTCCGCATCGTTGTCTAAGAGGTGAGTGCAATTCGTTTTGTTTGCTCATAGTTCAATCACATCGTGGCCATTTTCCGGCGACTCAATTGTCTATCTTGTCACGATCTTCAAAAATGTCGATAGTGGGGATACAACTGTGCTTTCATCCCTTGCGGGGCTCCAACGGTTAAGGCGCTGCAACCGGACGTTGGCCATGTCTCCCCGTGAGCATGTTTCAATTGAGATTTTTGATGCCCACACTTTTGTTAAAACCGTCCATCGTTGTCTCGTTATCCACTAAAGACGAACAACTGACAATTATCAGATCACGAGAATCGCAGAGCGACCTACTCGATATCAAACAGAATGGCCTCGTATCCTAAGAAGAAGTGCGGTATGGATATACAACACTAGCTATTGCCTGTGGCTTCAGTGCTAATGACATACAGGTGTTTTGGGCGCCACCGGCTCCGTGGGCCAGCGTTTCATCCTCCTGCTTGCCGACCACCTCTTCCTGGAGCTGCACGCCGTCGGTGCGTCTGAGCGTTCTGCGGGCAAGCAGTACAAGGATGCCGTGAGATGGAAGCAGTCTACGGCTATGTCTGAGAAGCTTAGCACACTCGTCCTCCGCGACTGCAAGGCCGAACAGTTCGCTGACTGCGATCTCGTCTTCTCTGGGCTTAACAGCGACATTGCGGGTGATGTTGGTATGTGGTTCTTTTCCCAGGTGACAGTACTACCTGCTGATTACAAATTTTACAGAGATGGAATTCATCAAGGCCGATATCCCCGTCTTCTCGAATGCGAAGAACTACCGCAAGCATCCTCTCGTCCCTCTCGTCGTTCCCACCGTCAACCCCCAGCACCTGGATCTCATCCCTCACCAGCGCAAACACTTCGGCCTGAAGAAGGGATTCTTGGTTTGCAACTCCAACTGCGCAGTCATTGGCATTGTTATCCCATTCGCTGCCCTGCAGGCCAAGTTTGGACCCGTTGAGGAGGTGGAGGTCTTCACCGAGCAGGCTCTCTCTGGAGCTGGATACCCTGGCGTGCCCAGCATGGATATCCTGGACAACGTCATTCCTTTTATCAGCGGTGAGGAAGACAAGCTTGAGAACGAGGCCCAGAAGATCCTGGGCTCCTTGAACGCCGATGCTACTGCTTTCGAAGAGCAGTCCGGCCTACGGGTTGGCGCCACCTGCACTCGCGTTGGAGTTACTGACGGTCACATGGCATTTGTTTCCTTGCGCTTCAAGAACCGCCCTGCTCCCAGCGCAGAGCAGGTGGCTCAGGCCATGAGGGAGTACCAGTCGGAGGCTCAGAAGCTGGGCGCTCCTTCTGCACCCGCCCAGGCTATCCGAGTGTTCGACGAGCCCGACAGACCCCAGCCTAGACTGGACCGGGACATCTCCAAGGGCTACACCGTTAGCGTCGGACGGGTGCGCGACGGCAACGAGGGTGGCTACTTCGATCTCCGTTTCGCTGCTCTTTCGCACAACACCGTTATCGGCGCTGCTGGATCATCCATCCTCAACGCGGAGGTTGCTGTCATCAAGGGCTACATCTAAACATGTGAAGAGATCTATGGCATATAGCGATTAGACGGCGTCAGATATCCTTTTGTTTCTAGACATTTCAGCTACTAAAAGCAAAAAGCATTGAACATACGGAGTAAATCAAGCCTGGACCCAGTATTGCTTATGTAATGTGGATTGGCCCACAGGGGCTAGTACTGGTCGGGACTAGTGGGGTAAGACTTTGAACGGTACTAGTGCTAGGGCTAAGCCCCGCTGGCACCAGCCGCTAAGCGAAAAATGCAGATGGGCTGGATATCAGCCGCTGAAGTCCTTGTCCCGACTCCTTCTTTTCCTCGCGACACTTCGACAACTAACCGGTTCAAGTCGACAAAGCAGCCAAGATGCCTCGCGGACCGTGAGTAACACGCCCAATGTTGTTCTTACTGCATGCAGCGAGATTACCGGTGGAATTGCGTTTTCACAGGTCTATCTTCGCTACGGCAGGAGAATTGAAGATTTTGAGGAGCTGAAAACTAACCACCATGCTCGTACAGTAAGAAGCACCAGAAGCGCCTTAGCGCGCCTTCTCACTGGCTCCTGGACAAGATGTCCGGAACCTACGCCCCCAAGGCCTCCCCCGGTCCTCACAAGCTCCGGGACTGCCTGCCCCTGATCGTCTTCATCCGCAACCGGTACGAGCCATCCAGCGATTACGAAGGAACCGAAAGAGAGGATCGGAATAGGAGGACTGACAGGTTTATAGTCTCAAGTACGCCCTTAACGGCCGTGAGACCAAGGCGATCATGATGCAGCGTCTGATCAAGGTCGACGGCAAGGTCCGCACCGACCCTACCTACCCCGCTGGTTTCATGGACGTCATCGGCATCGAGAAGACCGGCGAGAACTTCCGTCTCATCTACGACACCAAGGGTCGCTTCACCGTCCACCGTATCCAGGCTGAGGAGGCCGAGTACAAGCTCTGCAAGGTCAAGCGTGTTCAGCTCGGCAAGGGCGGGATCCCATTCTTGGTTACGCACGATGCGAGAACGTGAGTGCATACTCTCTACAAGTTCCGCGTCATTCAGTCGTTGGACCAAGCTTTGGTTGATCGGCGGAGGACGACAGAACTAGAATCGCAGTTCTTTGCTGGAACACAGTAAGGAGCCGCAACTTCAGAACAAAGTGTGCTAACAAGGGCTTTTTTATAGCATCCGTTACCCCGACCCCGCCATCAAGGTCAACGACACCGTGAAGATCGACATTGCCACTGGCAAGATCGCCGACTTCGTCAAGTTCGACACTGGTGTTGTCGCCATGGCCACCGGTGGTCGTAACATGGGTCGTGTCGGTGTCGTTACCCACCGTGAGCGCCACGATGGTGGTTTCAACATCGTCCACATCAAGGACGCTATTGACAACACCTTCGCCACCCGTGAGTCCAACGTCTTCGTCATCGGTCAGGACAAGCCCTGGATCTCCCTGCCCAAGGGCAAGGGTGTCAAGCTCTCCATCGCTGAGGAGCGTGACCGCCGCCGTGCCCTCCAGTAGATGTGGCATGGTAAGTGATGTAGGCTGCCGGAAAAATAAAAGCGTTGCAAAATTCCGCTGTGGCGATGACATCTTGTCTTGCTTTGTGGACCTGTATGACGCCGGTTACGATAATTATATGAAGCGTTATCCAGAACAAAAAAAGAAAGAATTGTCTACAGGACACAAAGTTACACCTGTTACTGTACCGTAGACTTGTACACTAAAGCAAGGTCAAGATGCCAAGTCTGTCTACCTATGATAGTATGATACCATTGTTTCTGAAGCCCTTTAGTTCCATTCCTAGGATTTGTATCTGGGCCAACTGCAGTAGGACACTTTTTTTATTCTTACCACCTCCCCAACTTTCCCACTTGTCCCCGTTTTCATCTGTCCATTTCCCGGACCCATTCATGGAGCAACTCCGCCGGATACTCCCGTGCCACTCCAGCAGATCTATCTCATCCACGTAAGTCTTTGCGCAGATGCTATTTAGACGGCCCGTCGCCTCGAGTCCACCCTGTCGTGACCTCTAACAGGGATGCTACGGCGCCGGGGAGACAGCAGGGTGGGATACTCGATGCAATCTGTCCATGGGTCTTGGAAAAAATTTACGTCTCACATTCCAAGCCGGGAGCCAACCGATCCAAATGGGAAGCTGCACTTGAAGGAGGAGTGAACAGTGGCTGGAGCAGTTGGCCGAAGTCGACCTGGTGCAGTGGTCGACCCATCAGACTATGAGGAATTGCGAGTCTTGGGGGGTCCTCCTGTGCTGCCTTGGTTTCGTTGAATCCAGCCAACCGAACATCTCCTTTGGCCCATCTACTCTGTACAAGGCTACAAGTAGGAATGTAACACGTCAACTGGGCTGCTGCAGGTCAGTATGGATCTTCTCCTCATCCTTCTCCTCTTCTTATTCCCACCCCTCTTTTTCTTTACCTCCTCTCCCCAGCCGTGGGGGTTAAGTGGACTGGGAGGGATTTAGCGAGAAGAGACGGGAACTAGAACGGAAAAATAAATACTTAATAACAAATGTGAGTTGTGGTGTGGATGAGAAGATGGCGGAGTCTTTCGACGGACTGGCAATCTAGTTCGTTCTTGGTTGCTGATGCCGGTGCAGATTGCAGGTGCCGCTCTAGTCGCACACTGATGGGATGGGATGATAAGAGAGGAATTGATTCATCTGGACACATCCTCCTGCCGGCGCCCCTTTGGCCCGATTCCTCCTCCCCTCGATCCTCGGCATATCAAAGGAAGCGCCAAACTAATCGGGTGCTGACCATGCAGACTTAGCCACCATGTCGCATGGGTTAGTTTGCGTTAAGTCAACTGACAAGTCATCTTGACCTAGGCGATCTCACTGTGATTGATAATTGATATTCGACCATCGCCGTGGTCGGACTCCCCTTCGATCCACGCCTTCTGGCGCTCGGGATGGTTCGGTTAAGCTCAGAAAACAGGATCAAAAGGGGGGGAGGGAAGATGGGGTTGCGATCCATCACTTGCGGATTGCGCCTTTGCTTGAATGTTTTCTTTTTTCCACCTCCATATCTTACTTTCCTCTGTCGACCATCTCCGCTCAATTTTATTTTATTTTATTTCATTCCCCCCCTCTCTTCTTTGGTAGAAAGGCTTGCCCACCATCTTGCCCTTTGCGGATGGAGGTGCCTTAGGTTCTTGGATGTTCCTCGGCCATGTCAGTCAGGATACCGGCAGGATTCGTCCGAGGGATCAAGGCGGCACGATCATCGAGCGAAAGGTGGCATCGCACACTTGTATCACGGTGTCCGTTGCTCAGTCCAAGGGTATTCACATATTGCTTCCCCCGAGCCCTGGAAAAAGCAGAAGATGCTCGGCAGTGGTCTTCTCTCCGTTTGGTAGATGTGTACGAAGGTTATATACCTACCTGACCTGTGAGCGAGGCCTTCGAAATGTTTGTCTCAAGCCACGGTGACATAGCCCGCCCGTTAACTCGCTTCTACACACACGCACTCGCCCACGCAGACCATACATACTTCCTTAGCCTCCGAGCCAGGATTCATGCATGCTGCACGTCCAGAACCAATCCGGGTCTAGCGGGCCACGTCTATCTGGGTGGACAGGTCTCTGTCCCGGAATATGGGTGACCAAGCTATCATGCTTCCCACAGTGGCCAACTATAGGCTTTGGCTGTAAGCAGCCCCCACGCATCTGCACGGCAGATGGCTTGTGAAAGCGATTGTTTTCGCACAACATCACAGCATGCGGGAGACACAGAGAGCAATCATGTAGGTAGGTATGTATGTATGTATGTATGTATGTAGACATCATATGTAAGTAAGCGGCCATGTTAGAGACGGGGACCAGGCAACCGAGTGACAACATAGCTACGGACTACGAGTTGTACTTATCTAGGCTTTGGCAAGGTCTCAACAACCGTTGCGCTCTTGCAGGAGGACTCCTCCCGCCCACATACAAGCCCAGTCAGCCACCCATCAATAGCTGTCGCTTGCTATGGCTGTGGCTATCCGCTCCGAGTTCTGGACCTCCCGGGCCGTGCAAGTGAAGTAAGTACAGGGGCGTTGAGGTTCCAGGTCACCCTCTCTCTGCATACGACAGCTCAGCGACACAGCCCTGTTCTTGCAGGACGGTAACCATACTGGTCTAGACGTAGAATCTGGCTAGGAAGCAAAAGTGGTGAGTCGTGACACAAAATGGAGGGAAGCTTCAGTTCGTTCGCTTCTTGGACGTCCTGTCTCCTCCTCAAGGAACGCCCGTGGCCGCGAAAACGGGGGCAGAATGAGCGGGTCTCAACTAATGGGGGTCATCACGGAATACATTCGCCGGAGTACTCCGCTCCAATGTCGAAGATTCCTTACTCTTCCTGGATGCTGTTGAATGGCACAACGTGGAGGGAAGCCGGGTGCAGCGGCGCTTCCGTGGCTATCTGCAACCCGCAACTTCCGGTGTCTGATGATTGCAGCAGGATGCTTCAAATGGCTGATTCAAGGTTTGACTGCTTTTTGGGGCCTCTTGTGGTCATCGACGATATTGCCTTCAGAGTCAATGCAGAGACATCTGGTCTAATAACTAGACAGCAAGTTGATGCCGGGCACACCAGGGTTTCTCCTAAGCGGGCCCCCTAATTCTATCCTTTTATTGCCCTGCGCCACAATATCTGGCTGGTTTCTGGTAGTCTAGTGGATGGGAGTTTCGGGGTGGAGATACTCGATCACCCAATTCCGCCCATTCCACCCGAAGGCGAAGTTTAGCTTGTCTCGATAGTTTCCAACCTTCTGGGTAGATGTTCCGAGGGCGGGTATCCACGCGTTCCTGAGAGTTAGGATCAATCAAGGCACCAGGTACCGTGGAGAAGCAAAGAGGAAGAATATTGAAGGATTTACATTTCTTCACTGATGCATTGTAGTACTCCAGAAGAACAACAGAGCAATTGAATTGTTTTCTTCTTTTCTTGCTGGTGGATCCTGCTTGGCGAAAAACGACACCCACCGCCACGAGCTCCTCCACTGCTGCTCTCATCTCCATTTACTCTCTTTTCTCTCCCACTTGCTATTGGTATCATGGTCAATCCTTCCTTAGTGACCGAATCCACAACTGTCTTGTTCCCCCCCCGGTCTGTGGGACATGCAACGTCGGCTGTCGAGGGTAACACTGGAGAGAGGTTGACCCTGGCTGGACACGTCCGAGGCCAGTAGTTAGTTAGTTAGTCTAGCTTTCTATTTATCCCCAGTCCGCCGTCGTCATCATTCCTACCTCGGTCTGGGGACGGATCCGAGCTGGACTGGACTGGAGTTGAGAATCCAAAATTTCACAGAGAATAGGATAAACCAATGACGATGAACCCGGCGAGGTCCATCAGGCCATCTGGGGCCGCTAGAAGGAAAGCAGACTCCAATTGTTCGCCAGGAAGCAAAACCCCCCGATCGCCATCGCCCCGATCAGCGGCGATACGCTTTTCTGCATTGCACTCGCTTCACCCACTAATTTAGTTGCAGCTGTAGCAAGAGAGGTTGCGAGCCACCCGATCTGGTTTTCTTCTTTGGTTTTTTTTAGCATTTCACACAGGGAGATGGATACGACTATCTACCATGCTGGAGACAATATTCGTGTGTGACCGGCTTTCGACACAGCATCTCTCTGGCCAGCTAAGCTAGAAAGCAGGACCAGCTGGTGGGTCCCCACAGCGGACTTGGGAGGAGGATCAGCCCTTCATGCTTCGACATCATCATCATCAAGACTGTGACAACGATGACTTTGCCTCTGCCTTTGCCTTTGCCTTTGGCTTACTCTCAGCCGTGCTCCTGGCGCTTGACGAAACTCGCCTCTCACTCAGCTGTTCCTCCTGTAGCTGCTGCTCAGTGGCTCGACTGCCTCGTCTTCTCCCGCGAGGCTGATGTATAGTTGACTTCATTAATATCCTGTCATTGTACACCGCTACAGCTCTTGGATACGAACAAGATTGATCTCTCTTTCTCTCCTTTCACAGTCTCTCTTTCTTCCTCTCTCTCTCCGCGTCTGGATGAGATGTGGCCCCAGGTGAACCTTCCAGAAATCGAAATAGTCCTGCATGACCCGGACCCTCTCGGGATGCTGTTGTGCACTCACAGTTCCATCTGTTCCCTCTTGCTCCATCCATCTTCTTGACCGCTTCTCTAATCTCTTCTGTATTGTGTATGATTTTCTTTCTCTCTCTCTCTCTCTCCAATTTCCTTTTTGGATTTTTGTTTACATTTTCTTTTTTTCTTTTTTCTTGTTCCGTCCTTCTAAATATTCAATTTCTTTTTCAAATTATTCTCTTCTGAAAATTCGTTCAATTTATCTTATTATATTATATTATTATTATGGTTATAATTATTTTATTTTATTTATTTATTTATTTATTTTTTTTTTTTTTCAATTCACTTCCCTTCTAGGTTTATCTCATATTTCTTTTCCACTCTAGAATGCTACCTGTTTGTTCCACTGGCCCGCCGTTGACTGGCGTCCTTTATTATTGTTGCTATTATCGGTCATACTATTGCCAACGGCCCCGATTATTTATGGAGACAACGATTATTGATGCTTGAATCCGGTTTATTATTCACAGCCCATGTAGGGAGGGTCTGCTCGGCTGCTCCTAGACGGGCCCCAAGACCTAACGGTCCTCCCAGGGGCCGGAGAATGCATTCCTTCCCTTGGCCACCAGTCGACGATTAAATGATGCGACAGCCAGCTCGCTTGATTGGAGTCGTCGGCCCACCGCTAGGCTTTAGCCATGATTTCAGCTCCTGTATCAAAAGGTAATCTCCGTCCCTTTAGCCTATCCTGGCTCCCGGGTCCCAGTGGTTCGGATCTGGATCAGCCCTCGTCTGCTCTTCTTCTTTCTGTCCTGTAATGCGCCACTTGCCGCCATGCTTTCTGGCCGCTCGGATGCCACAGGCAGCAGCAGCAGCAGAAGCAGCAGCAGCTTTCTTGTGCTCCGTTGATGGGAGCCCTCTCTCGCCTATCCAGCTCTCCCCGTGAGTTGTCAAACGTGGCAAAAGGTCTTGAAGAACGGAAAGTAGTCTGCACCAGCTGAAGGAAGATAAGCTCTATCATTCCATCGTGGCCAGTTTTCTGCAGATTTTCTCTGATGGTGCAATGCACGGTGCAATACAATAGAGCTAGCTGTTTGGATTAATCCCCTTATCTGGGTTTCTACTTCTGTTTTTGTTTCGGTCCCTGTTCCTGCTCTATTCAATCTACCCTCGTTCAAACCTGCTGGAAACCGGCCGGTGTGTCCTCGTCAACTACCCAATTTTGACCTTCCTTTGTGTACATCCGTTGCCTTGGGCTCGAGCCCTCTCCTCCTTCCGGTTTCCGTGAGGTTAGTCCCCGGCCTATTTCATCTGACGTCGTTTATTCCCTGCCCTATATGCCTGTCCTGGGGCGTTCTAGAATCTGACGGAGGTTGATATCAATACCTGGCATCGGGAAGGGCTTGGTTCCCGATCACACGTTGGTACTACATCCTACAGGGATAAAAGGACCCCCGGGAACAAGGTAGCGGTGTCCACTGCTACGTATTTCGTCACTATGTTGTTCTGTTGCTGAGTCGTACGTAGTCTCCTCCAGTGTCAAAAGGGACAGGCCGATCCCCTTCGTCGTTGTTTGAACAAAGATCCCGCAAAGCATTTTGACTGTTTCTGGCATGTCTGCGTATTCACCTTCGGCCGGCGTGCCGTTCCCGTGCATGTCGGGGCAGCCTTCCTACCTGGAACTGTTTCCCTCGGGCGAGATTCCCCATACCTTTTTCACGTATCAGTGGTGGGAGGACGAGGCCACCACTGTGTTCTGGGCCTTCGATCCCCATGAGATCAAGCGGGTGATCCGATTCGGACTGTTTCGAGACAACAACCTCCCGCGGAAGTCTCTTCAGAAACGCGATCCTCAAGCCATTACCGCGTTCCTGTACTCGCTCGTGGAGCCGCATGAGATGGCATTTATCGACAATCTGTCCCATTATCAGAAGGTCGAGGAGATTATCCGACGATGTCAGATCTCCGGTCCTCCTCTCGAGCCTTGGAGCTGGCTTCCTACCAAGCGAGATAGTGACCTGCCCTCGATAGCAATAGCAGAAGCCATCGACACAGAGAGTCATCTTCATTTCACGCGAATATCGTTCGAGGAACTGGTCCGCTACTTCCTGGGCTACCGAGCACCCTCGGTAGAGTGGTTTTTACAACAGCATACAGCGCTTTACATCCACCTGCTCAACTATCTGCAAATGTTCCCAGAGGAGCTGGGGAAGTACAAGGAGGTTGAACAGGTACGTAATTGGCATGCTAGCATCATGCACCGCTGCAAACGTGCTGACGCCGGAGCAGCATCTTCAGACTCGCAGCCCTTTTGCCCACCGTGCCATAAACCGGTGCCTACACGCCATGAGACAGCCAGTACCAGCCAGTCCGCCGTACCCGGGCTTCCAGTTCATAGCAGCGCCTATCCAGCAGCTATTCAAAGAGCATTTACCGAGTCTGAAGGCCATTCTGCTTGAGCTCTCAGTACTAGGGGTACGGTTTACCCGAACATACGTCCACGCCCGAGAGATGAACTGGACGAAGCCATTTTCGGTCGAAATCCCCCTGCTAGATGAGTTGGATTTGACGAACCCAGCCCCAGCTCTCGATTTTGCCAAGACAACAACCGCTGTCGACGAAGAGTACTTCTCAGGACTGAGCCATAAAAGCTTCGTGGAACCCGATGCCATAATCAAACGACTCCTTGTGCTATGGGAGCTACGCAGCCTGGAAGTGTGGGAATGTTGCACGGGACTACCAGACATGATAGGCTACATTCAGGAAATTGTCGAGGTACTATCTTTTCTGTGAGAGTGTATAACATGGAACCATATACTAACAACAGCAGGCCCTCTACACCTGCCGCAATTACCACTCCTTCACGTCGATACTCAGCGGTCTTTACAAGTACAGCACGTCCCACTCGACCTTCACGCATACCGACAGCGCCACCAACCGGATGACGCTGACTCCGGTGCTGCCCCCTGCACTAGCGTACCTGCTGGACCCGACAGAGAACTTTGTGGCCTACCGACAGGAGTTCCAAACATCGCCGGGCCTCCCTTTCCTCTTCCCGCACATTAGGGAGTACCAACAGCACGGCCCGCCAGCCCTGCACCAACTGTTCCAGCAATTGCAACGTCAGGTACCCACCAACTAGACTAGTAACACACGTGGCGGTGGTCTGAGCTTGGGGCAACAAGATGTCATCTAGACGCAATGGACGAACGGCTAGGCAGCACACACTATGGGCAGTAATATGACGCGTACCAGCAGAGAGACAGGATGAGAGAAAAAGGAAACAAAAGCTATCTGTCTATCAGGCTAAGCAAGTAAGCCGCTGATTAATATGACGACTTCCTTCCTATCCTATCATTTCCTATTTCTTGTGTTGACTGATTTGATTTATTGATGTCTTGTGATCATTCCCCCTTTTTATCCTTCTTCTTGATTTCGGATAATCCCTGTTCTTTTTCGTTCTTTGGGCATGTATTTCTACTACACAGCATACTGCAATCCTCATTGAAATTGAATCTAGACCGTGAGCTTGGTGCACATCCTTTGATCCGAACGGGGGTGTTAGGATAGCCACATAGTTAACTAGACAACCAGTCATGATAGGATAGGGTACAACCAGCCGAAGATTCACAGGGTAGATAGGGGTCTAGACCATTGGCAATAGTTCTTATATTCTTGAACAAGAGTAAGTTGGGTAGAATATACGATAGGCTAAGCTAGAAGTAGAAGTTAGTCTATTAGTAGCTTAGATAGGGGAAGGGATGATGATGGTGCAGTGGGTATCGGATAACTCCGAGCGGGTCAAGTCGAGATGAAAGAAAGACAGTTTTGAAAGGGGAAGGTAAAATCGGTGCTATAATACTACTAGTAGGTTTATTTCTCTTTACCCGAGAAAGGTAACTGTCGATCTCAATGCCATCATTCCTCTCATTCATGTCCTAGTTAGTTACTTAGACTAGTGTCTAGTGAATAAGTAGTTGGCTAACAACGGCGATTGATAATCCCCGGGATCCCGGGATCCATCCATCCTACACTTTATGTCCAGTGATTAATAAACCCATTTCGAATTTTTACCCTTAGAATATAATCACACATCCACCATCCACACCACATGAAACACAATCAATACCCCTTCCTCTTACCCTTACCCTTACCCTTCGCCTTCAATTTCATCTTCCCCTCACCAACCTGACCAACAACACCCCCCAACCCACCCCCCAACACCACAACCCTACTCAGAAACAGTCCCGCCGTAACACCCACATTCCCCCACGTAAGCGCATTCCACCCGGCTATATCCACGAACCTCTCCCATCCCATGGCATACCCCGCGGCCAAGATATGCGTCAGATCCGCAACCGCCAAACACACCAGATAGTTGCGCAGGACTTTGGGCTCCGAGGTGCTGTGGATCAGCGCGATGCCGAGAAGCGCGAGCAGGAAGTAGATGTTGGAGAGTTGGTAGGCGAGGGAGAGCGACGAGGGAGTGATGGTTCCTGTGGGATCTGGGTTATGTGGGATTTGGGATAGGATGAAGGAGGAGGGTTGTAGGTGGGGGTAGAGGGAGCCGCCGATGCTGTTGAAAGGTATTAGTTATGGTGATGGGGGATTGGGATTGGGGGACGTACAGGGCTAGGGGCTCGAAAATGCCGAAGATGAAGTAGGGGATTGGGGGGAATATGGTGGTTGGCATTTTTGATCCAGTTTCAAGGTGGGATTGTGGTGTAGGGGTGAGTGGTGTGTTGTGTTGTATGGGTGAGGAGAGGGTGAGATGGAGTAGAGTTAGTAGTTAGTATATGGAGTAGATGGATAGCTGATTACTGGATTGGGGATAGTGGGTGGATAGTAATAGTAGTTTGCTATGGGTGAACTTATTTAGAACCATGGAATGATATATACTGCTTTATTATAAGCTGTGATTAATCCTTTCTATATTTTCTTTTCTTTTTCTTTTCCCCTTTAATGAAGAAAGGTCAATGTTTGTAGAAATTTGGTGGTTGCTTTGATGACTTGAATGTATCAAATGATCCCATTGGGAAAGTGTATGCTTCTTTGGGTCTGCACTGTTCATCTTCAACCAGATATCCTGATGAATGGGTTCTATCATTCAATTATCACCATGTCCCACTACTGAAAATAAAAAAAAGATCCTGTCCAGCTACAACAGTTAACCAGTCAACTACTATACAGATACACAGTAACCAAGTAACTCACTAGCCAACTAGTTGATCAGCCAGTTGGTTAACTGTTGGCTGACTCATCAGCCGCCCACCTGGATTCAAGTCTGCGACAATTCTCCATCTGCTGCATCTGCATCTCCTCCACACCATCCATCAACCGTGAAAATGGCCGTGGCATCTCCCCTATCCTTCTACATGGTGCTCTTCATCCCTCAGTGATCGTCCCCTGAATGGGTGTATGGGTGCCCCACCATGGATTCCAACGGCTCCTATACCCGCTCCTTCGACGAATCCTTGATTCGCGAACTACCCCAGCTTCAGTCTCTCCGCATTGCTCCCCTCCGTCAGCCGGTGTCTCGCCTCTTGGCCGTGCCCTCCCCGCTCGAACCCAGTGCCAGTCACGTCCGAGAACCCTCCAGTAACAACAATGCCGGCATCCTCCCTGCCCGCAATGACTCGGCCCCATCTGGAGCCACCGAAGGGGCAGCTGCTCCCCGACCGAAGAAGTCGGATGCCCCTGCGGACTCCCTCCCGAGCCTGGAGGCGCCTCCCCGGCCAATTCTCCCGGCTTTTGTCAACCTCCGCGCCCTAGAACGATACCCCTACTCCTCGTTTGATGACGACGCCCTTCACTTCCGCAAGCGCAGGCGTTTGGGCGGTCAGGCGGAGACGTTTAGTGAACATCTCCAGCTGCCCATTCCCCAGGCGCAGAAGGAGCAGCGTCCGCCGCCCTTTGGCCCTTTTGCTATTCTCAATGGTCTCAACGAGCCACCTCCAAATGCGGCCTTGCTTCCTCCAATTGAACCCGGCTCGATCACGCAGCTACTAACCAAACCATCCCGAGGCAGTGAGGCTGTGGAGCCGGGCTTACTTACTGCTAATGCTGCAGATAGCCAGATTGCGGAGCGACGAGAAGGTCGCATAGAGGAAATCCTCGATTCTCCGGTCGACAAAACGGTGGACGGCGATTCGAGCGATATCGCCAGTGGACTGCTGGACGATGTTGCTGCCGCGGAACGGACAAGATCCGAAAAGACAGACCCCGAGACTGACAATAAAGACGCCTCCACAGAGGACAATACCGAGCCTCTGTCGCCTAAAACGCGGGGCCGGTCTCGCAAGAACCTTCGTAAGTGGACCGAGGAAGAGACGACTGCTCTGCTGCGCGGGGTGGTCAAGTGCGGCATCGGCAATTGGACGGCGATTCTGGCCCAGCCAGAGTTGAAGTTCAACAAGCGTAGCGCATCCAATCTGAAAGATAGGTATGGTATAGCCATGGGTGGACGTGGAGGAGACACTGGATGCCAACTAAGTATAATTTAGGTTTCGTGTGTGTTGCCCCTGGGCATATCGGTAAGTCAGACGCAACTGTCGGCTGTGCACATCTAATCTTCCAAGGGCCGCGGATCCCAATGAAGCCACCAGGCAGCTGCATGACACGCTTGCGAACGCCCTCTCGCGAGCCGAAACCGAAGGGACCGACGGACAAGCGGGGAAGATCCATCTCCCACACCCGCGGGGGGCTAATGCAGAGGCCAGTGGCGCTGCGGTGAATGAGGCCAGCAGCTCCAAGGACGCTGACTCGAAAGGCAGCAAGGCCAAGAACAGCACCTTGTCAAAGACTACCCCCACGCTCTCTAGTAGATCCAAATCCACGCTGGCGTCGTTGGGCATCCCCGAGCCACACTTTACGATGAAATCGCGGCGACGCTCACGCCGCCCGTTTACCGTCGTTGAGGACGAGGCACTGCTGAAAGGCTACGCCGTGCATGGCTTCCAGTGGACGCTGATCCAGCAGGACAAGCGACTGAACCTGAGCCATCGCCGGGCGACGGACCTGCGAGACCGATTTCGGACCAAGTTCCCGCACGCCTACCGGGACGGAGGGTCCGTGAGCGGACGGTTGCCCCAGGGGGGGAATCCCGACCCTGGCAAACAGCATGCTGCACGGGTATCTGCTCGCGGGCAGGCGGAGAGCGGCAATGCGCGCGGGCCAATTGATCCTGCGCTGTCGCCTCCAGCCCCGCCGCAGGGGCTCCACGAGAGCACGAGCAGTGCGGGGGTATTTTCGTTTGCGATGGACGAGAATTCGGGAATGGATGCGACGTGGGCAGATAATACCTTGGCGCCGATGTGGGATGAGCTTACATAGGGAGCTTACATGTGAGCTTGCATAGATAGACTAGTTGCATATTAAACATTTGCAGTAGATGCAGTCACCATCAGTAGATAGGGTTGCAGCATATTAAAATTGCAGATATAGATATGCCCATGGATGATAACAGCTTTTATGCTAAGATAACCGTGACAAAGCCACATGAACAAACAAAACAAAACACTGATTGCAGACATTGCAGACAGAACGCTAGTTACATGATATCCGCCATACAAGAGCAGAATGAAATAGACAAGACAAACGGATAACAAAAGAAAAGCACATCTTACCTCATAGACCGTTTACCTGCAAGCAATTGCGAATGCAATTCCAGCTAACAACACACTCTCCACCTCCGTTTATTCACATTCTCCCATCCCCTCCCATCCCCGCTAAATCATCATCATCATCATCTCCCCCACAGTACATACGAAGTATCAATTACCACGCATTCCGATCCCAATTCGGATCTACACAAAAACCCCATTAGCGTTAGCACATTCACCCCACCCCACCCCCAAAAGAACAACCAAGAAAAGTTCTGAAAGAGAAAAACATACCCTGCACAAAACTGGCCAAAACCTTACTCCCCGTCTGCAAAAGCGGATGACCGGCGACAATCTGCAAAAACCGCTGCAAACCCTCCCGTCTATGCTCAATCACATCATCAGAGAACCGATTCGTAAACACCTTCCCCGGTAACGGCGGGATCGTGACCCTCGTCGACTCCCGCTCCAGTATATCCCGGAAGTACTCGAAGTCGGAGTATCGGCGGCGCACGACGGAATGTTTGAGTTTGAAGGCGGGGATGTTTGTCCGGCAGACGATTTCGTACGAGGTGTACATGTTGCGCGAGGTGCCGTGCGTTTGGGGATTCCTAACCTGCCGTTTTTAGGGGGTGGATGTTAGTTTAAGGGGGTTGGGTGGAAGGGGGAGAAGGGTATTGGGGGGGGGGGGGGAGGGGGTTGTACTTCTATCTCGAGGAAGTTTTCGGGAGGGCCGTAGATCTCCTCGAAGGTTTGTTGGCGGGATTCCGGGACGGCTTGCATTTTCAATGTCTTCCTCTTCTGTGTTTTGTTTCTGGGTGGGTAGGAGGGGGTTTGGTGGTGGGTGATAAGTGGGAGAGGAAGAGTGTAATGGATGCGGGGAAGCTCGGTGTGCGTTGCTTCCCAAGGTGGTTACTTCCGGGTATCTCGTGGGAATGTGTGGTGAATCCCTGTGTCGCGGATGGGAGTCAGAACTAGAGACAAAGAAAGAGGGGAGTGAATCACCACCTCGGATTGAAAGATAGCAGGTGGATTTCTGGGGTCTCTGTATAAAGCAGGATGACGACGATAAGAGGGGCTGGAATTCCCGCCGATCGGGAAATCGGTGCATTGTTGCTCCATTCCGCTGTCACTGTCACTTGCTTTAGTTACAGATTTTCTAGAAACGACCATTGATTCATGTATGCTGGTTATCTGCTATGATATTTGTGAAGTGATAAGCTAAAACTACCAACCAACTCCTATACTCAAACTATGACTACATATGCAAGCAAGCAAGCAAGCAGCAAAAAGGAAACCATATTCAGACCCTTGATTGTCTAATACACCCCATCGGTGCGAAAAAAAGAAAAATGAACATAGACTGCAGTGATAAGAACCAATTTCCCCGAACCCGCGCAATGAACCCAGATAATAATAGATAGAAAGAGTAGAGAAAAAGAAAAGAGGAAGGTAAAAAGGCAGGTGTACAGAAGGGTCAATCAAGCAATTCACTCCTGGCGACTGCGCTTGGCCCCATGAGGGTTCCATGATCCATCGCCGACGCCCTGGTTGGGAGGAAAGAATCCCTGGTTAAAGGCTGGGTTGGGGCCCTGGAATCCACCTTGTCCTGCTCTGCTATCAGCATAAAGCACACGCACACTGTGCTGGAATCTACTCACCCTGCATCCCCATGTTGCCCGTCATACCTCCCATCATCGGATTCATTGCCCCGGGCATCGCATTCATCCCCATCCCTCCCATCGGATTCATCCCGGGCATCCCCATCATATTGGGTCCTGCCATGCCACCACCACGACCGCGCATGCCTCCAGGGCCACCGCGCATACCGCCCATCATGCCTCCGCGGTTATTGAAGCCGTAGTTCTGCATCCCCATGGGATTACCCTGGAAGCCTCCGCCCACCATCGGCCCTTGGAAGCCACCCATCGGGTTCTGGAAGTTACGGTTGTTGCCGAAGTTACCACCCATGCCGCCGGACATGCCGCCGCGGTTGTTGTATCCACCGCGTCCGCCCCGATAGCCTCCGCCCATGTTGTTCATGCCACCGCTAAAGTTCATGTTCGGGTTGGGCGAGTTGAAGCCGCCGGACATCGAGCGCGCCTGGTTGTCCTTGCGCATCGGCGCATCCTTGGGCAGCGTGCGGAACGGGTTCGGTTGCGGGCTGGTGTAGGTGACCATGTGCTTGCGCGTTTGTCCGCCGGCGCTGAATGACTCGATCTTGTGTTTCGTCGCTGTAGCTGCCTGGAGAGTGGTGAATTCGAGGAACGCTTGTCTATTAACACCACGTCAGTGGACTGATGTGTCACCGCTGCTTCCAGCTTCCTGCTGCCCTCTTACCCTTTGCTTTTACCGTTCACTTTGTGTTCGCTGAACGTTACGTCCTTCAGTTCATCCTCGCAGTCCGCCTGGCACACCCAGCCGCGGATGTCGTCATCCGTGGTCCACCAATACAAGTCCGATATGAGCAGAGCAGGGGTAGCATCAGGGTCTGTCGGTCGATCATCGTGCTCCTTGCGCTTGACTCCCTGCTGGGGGGCAGGGGTGTCCTTGGCCGCGGATTGCGGGTTTGCCGCCTGGGTTACAGGGTCACTATGGGGAGCGCCGCCTTCACTGTCCGGCTTGACGGTGCCGTCGGAGGAGCCGTCGCCTTGGTTGGGGTTCCCGTTCTGTGTGGGTTCCGGCGCATCTAGGATAAGCTCTGTGTCATCATGTTTCATCTCATCCTCGGGCTTAAAGTCGCCCTGCTCATTGGCGTTGTAGCCCCCGCCATCTCCATAGATGTCAATATCGAAGTTATCATCTTCGGTAGCCATGGTGTTTAGCTTATGATCGGATTCTCAAGGGAAAACTTGATTGCTTGCTTGCTTGGTTTGTGGGATATACAGTCCTCCTTGGGTATCTTCTTTTTTGTTTTCTTCTCTCCTCAGCTTCAGGATCGATTGATTTCAAGGGAAGTACATGTCTGTAGACACAGGCGGTCAATTAGCAAGGAGGGGATTCATCCACTGGATTTAGAAAAACAAAAGCAGGCTTCTGGGATCATCCTCCGACTCGATGCGGGAACTCCACGGTTTTGGTTTTCGAAACGTTATAGGCTCACAGGGGACGAACAAGGCGAATCGATTGCAGACACAATCGAACAAACAGAGGATAAAAAAGGCTTGATGATACGTACAATCCGAAGCGAAGACAGCTTCAAAAAGAACAAACACTTGACCAGTTCGTCAATCTGATAGCTCTGAAACGGAGATTGGCGCCTTGTTCCAGGACTTTTCAAGTACAGGGAAAGGGTAGAAAGTGTTAATTGTTTCCAATGAAAAGGGGAGAATTGCAGGTAATTCCACAGAAGATGCGGCGCCGGATAGTGAGATCTGCTGCTGCCGGGACCGGCAGAGCGCTTGTGCTAGAGAACAGGTTCGAGATATGAACTTTCCAGATGAGAGTACAGGAAATGAAGAAGAAGAAAATCCAGCAAACAACGTCGGTGAGCGCAGTTAGTTCCCAAGCTCAGCTCTCGCGAGACTGATGTAATTCAGGTCAGGTCAGGTCCACCGGTTCACGTCCAGCTGGGATCCCCTGACTCGTCGCCGCTAACGCCGGAGGTGGCGAAAGAAGAGGAGAGAGCGAAGAAGTGAGAAAGTGCAGAAGTAGAAGAAGGGATAGGGTTAGGGGAAGATGATGGGGATGGGATGGAAGCGTTGGAAGCGTGGGAAGACGTGTCCGAAGCAGGACTGCGGGTGGAGCGCGATGGAAGCAGAAGCAAGAGAGAGAAGGACAGCGGCGATCTCGACCTCACACTCCGGCCTTCTCTCGGCTTCGGTTGAACTTCCGCTCCGGAACCCCAGATCGTGACGCGTCCGGCTGGTGTTGTTTCGAACTCTATCGTGATCACAAATGATTCACGAAATTTCTCTTCAGCTGTGAACTACTCCATCTGCGATGCGCCCAGTACTCTGTCTGCTGTGATGGTTTGTGGGAGCAGCACTGCCCGTCACGCCGGCCATCTGCTTCCCCGTCTGAGAGAGTTAAGAGAGACCGTGCTATTCATAGCCCGGCCTAGATTGTTGACTATATGTGATCGCGTTATCGATAACCCCGTCCTCGAGCGAGCTAATTACATTCTATGACTACCTGCTTATCCCAGGTCCTTTTAACAACCCTCATTTATATTCAGCTAGCCAGCCAACGCCATGGCGGTCATGCAGTGGAAACAGAAGCGGAATGCAGTTACCTGCCTGCGTATACGTCCAAATTCTCATCACCATAACTCATAATGTAACTCATCGTCCAATGCCGATCTTTGGACTGGTCGACTTCGGCTCTGCATCTTCTCCCTGAATAAGTTGAATTCCCGGACCGAGTTCAATCGGCTGTCGTAGTTCCCTGCCACCGGCGGATCGCCCTCGTCGCTATCCACGCCGTCATTCCAGGTATGCAGTGTGCACGTACCAGTGGACAAACCCCATCCATTCCAGGACGTCGCTGCAACCTCAGAATTAGCGCAATTGCCATCAAGAAGATCTAATATCAACTTACCCGCCAAGACAGGGCAGTTCGGGTGCCAGCTGGCATCCCGAACGCATGTTTTCCACATCACATCGCTGCGACTACTACGGATTTCATACGCAGCGGTGAAGATATCAGGATCGCGCGGCCGCGAGTTGGCCGTCGCTTGCCCTACATCAATCGTTCCTGCAAGTGTGGCATCCAGATTATATACGTATACCTTACCGTCTTCACTGCCAGTATACACATATCTCGAGTTGGTACTGCCAGGAGGCGAGAAATGGCAGCGGATGAGAGTCTTGAGCACGCGGTGGCCCCGGAAAGTCACTACCGAACAGTCGTGGGGATGAGGTTCGTAATAGTCGTCCGGATACGGTTCAAATCGATAGTCGAACCCGGTTGTGTATCGGTTAACATCAATGGTGTCGAACTTGGCTGTCGTCATCATCTTTCTCAGATCCCAGAGCTTCATCGACTGATCTTTGCCGTTGGATAGTACGTATCGCCCATCGCCCTTGCTGTCAACATAAGTTAACCCTTCTGTATGCCCCATGAACACACCGGCCTCGCGCCCGTCGCCCATCGAGCGCCGGTCCCACACTCGCAGCGTGGTGTCGTCCGAACCAGAGTAAAGAATATGGGGGGACGACTTGTCGCCGAAACAGACAGCATTCACATCGTCCTCATGATTCTGCAGCCGCAGGACGGACTGGCGCGTTTCCAAATCGTAAACAATAACCGATTGATCGGATGTGCCAGCCACGATCTCCCGACCGTCGCCTGAGAATCGAATCGACCAGATCTATACCAGTTAGATGAAATGAGAAGGGTCTGCTCTTGACCGGTCACGTGCATACCCCGAAATGAGAATTGCCATACAGGCCACGCCCGCCTCGCCTTCCTGAAAGCGACGACAGATCCAAAATAGCTGGATCGGAGGAATCTGCTGGATCTGTGGGCGCAAGACAGACCAGGTTCCGAATCGAACTGTACGCCAGGAACTTATTGTCCGGACTCAGACTGGCGTCGGTGATGGTCCACTGCCCAAACGGGTAATCCACCGTCTTGTAATACTTCCACTCGAACGGGTTGGAAGTATCGTACATCCTGACCTTGAAGTCCTGAGCGCAGCAGAAGAAGAAATTTCCATCGTCCGAGAACTGTCCAGAGTAGCACCGCGAGTCGAAATGAACGATCTTATCCGCTGTCGAGCCAGGAATGAGTCCCTACCAACTGTCAGCCAGGACCAGTTACATCCCTCTCCCCTAAGATAATCCCACCTGCGTTATCGACTGCATATCCCTCCTCTGCGGCCCCGACACATCAACCCCCAGTTCTCGCCACATGATCTTCGTCGCCAGAGCCCGTTTCCGCTTCTTCAATCTGTCCACATAGTGAGGGTTGGATCCGAAATCACCAGAACCCATGAGCTGCTCTCCCTCCTCACTTGGTACCTTGGGAAACTGCTGACCTCCCGATCGTCGTGCTCGTCGCCGGTACCCGAAGAATCCGAACTCGTAATCGTCCTCGTCTTCCTCTACCACGTTGGCGTCGTGTAGTCCGTTATAATGAAGGATATGGCGCAGACCATTCGAAGCCAGGAGGTTCAGTAATCGAGCTGCGGAAACTGCTATAATGAGTGTCCAAAGCCTAAGCAATAGCAGCAGTAAGTGAGAATAAGAGTGCGGGCACGCTACCTCTATTGTGCCTTCCCTCGTGACGCTCCTCACCATGTTGCTCATGGTCCGACTCATCCATAGCGAATTCAATGTGTATATTACCTAGATGCAATTCCGGATCTTTAAAAAGCGTAAGTTCTCAAACCAAGAAAAATAAAGTAGAAGCAAATCCAACGCATGCAAAAGCAAAAACAAACTAAAGTGACAGTTGTAAAGGAGGGGGCGGCGACAATCGTACCGAAGCGATGATCATCAGCATCATCGAGGTCTTCCTCGCCCTCATACAAATTCGCATCTAGGTCTTCTTCTTCTTCTCTTCCATCTGAGTCTATTTCATCCGGCTCATAGTCCATATCATCCTCGTCCTCGTCCTGTTCTAACCATTCCCTAGCGGGATGCCATACAGTTCCAGAATCTCGGGACGGAGACCCCGGTTGGGCGGGGGGCGAGCCAGACGGCGGCGGAGGTGGACTACTCATGATCGGCCGAAAACGTGAGGGGTGGGAGCAGTCGGTGAATGGGCTACTGGGATCATATCATAGCAGGCTAAATTAGCAGTCACCCGACTTCCAATAGCAAGGGAGTGCAATTAGTGATAAAGGACAGGGAGAGGTGTCGGGGCTGCGTCTTCAATTGGTCGGCACGACTGGCTCCGAAATGGTTGGTCTTGAGTCGTTGCTGGCCTGGCACCGCTTATCGATACCGGTCGGTTATGTCATCTCGGAGTGCGCGGGCTTGTTAACTCCTATCCCCGATGCTGGGGGGGCGGAGGATGACATGGACTGAGTGGGAAAGGTTAAGGAACAGTGTGGTGTATCATACATTATAGCGATTAATGAAGCCAGTAACATATATTAACATACAAATGCAAGGGACATAAACATAAAGTCGTGGGGTCGTTAATATCGTGAACAAAGACATTGTTAAGAGTACAATTAAGACAAGATAGTCAACCGAAATGGGCCTCTACGGAGGCAGCAGATTCATTCGATCAGGCTCTCCTCGCCGAGCCATGTTGATCCCTTCGTGAAGAGGTTCGACATATGCACCGATATGGGCTTGAAGTACTCCATCTCTTCTTCCGTTGCAGACATGACGCCGGTAATCAAGCTGGAAACAGCATCCGCTACCACCTCTGTGCCTCGGCTGAACATCACCTCGAGAGTTGGGGAAACCTGGACACCTGGCTCGACTATCTGGAGCTCAGTACCTATCTTGCTAGGCTCGGAGACTTCCGCGGAAGTCTCTGTGGATGAAATCATCATTGGCTTTCTCCTCAGAACAGTGGCACGGAGGATGAGTATTCCGGAGATCACTTGAAGCTTCGTTCGCAGCTGCGAATGCTTCCTCCGCGGAATCTGTCTAGCTGTGGGTTGGTAACGCATCTTCTCCCATGGATGGGGTAAGTAGCGCCGACTGATGGCGGACTCGGTTCGTTTCTCAGAAATGCTCCTTTCACCGAAACCTAGACCGTTGTTTAGCAGACTCATCCATTGGAGGAGAATGGGGCAAGCACCCACAGTACGACAATGACACTGTATGTAAAAGGGCTGCCTCGCAGGCGAGCCAAGAAACAAGCATTTGGTCGAAGAAATCTTGCACTGCATTCAGGACAAAGAAAGAAAGGATTTCGACCGACTGATATGTCGACTCCGTGGCAGACAACATATCGAGTGTTTGTATGAACTCTTCTGTCTTGAATAGGTTACCTCTTCCATATTTATGGACAGCTTCGAATGCTTCTTGTGGTCCTTTAGCGTCTAGAGAGGGTGGCGCTTGGCAATATGAAGTGTCTAGGTTCATCGAGGAACAAGTCACTTCCGAGTCAACAGGAGAATCCAGACTAAGTGGACAAGAACTGCCAAAATGTACACACTCATCATTGGCAGCTTTCAAGCCAAGGATGTGGTCATTCGATGATTTTCCAGCTTCCATGTTGGCACCTTTCGCAGGTTCCATATAGTGATCATGATCAAAAAGGGATAGAGGCTCCAAAGAGTGCTCAGTTGGCGACAGAGACCAATGGTCAGTCCAAAGTGGACGTCCTGGGATGCCTATGTCGCCTTTGTTAATGGTCCGCTTGCATCTTTCCGATTCCTCGCTTTCTTGGGGGTCTCTCATAGAAGCGGGGAGCTTGCAGGTATTGTCCGCGCAGAAGTGGCACTGGAAGATGGTCTCCTTTAAACGGCAGCACTTATCGCACTCGACTAGAACGTGTCCGCAACCCTGGCACTGCTTTTTGAAGAGATCTTCAGTCCTAAGACGAGGAGTCCGCTTGCGATCTGAAGCAGCATCGTTTGGAGGCCGTGATATACGGCGATAAGTTTCGTCACCGAGGTCTCTTAGATCGGATTCGCCAGAAGTGGATGGTGGGTAATCCTCCCCGTGCGAAACCGAATCGCAGCTTTCAGTTTCCTCTGTCATCTGCATCAGCGCCAAGTGCTGGCTTATGATACTAGATGGGGCAGGAACATCCATCGCGTGTGGTATGTCGCTGGAACAGCAAGATGGTGATGGAGCTACATCTGCGACGGTATCGGCCTCACCGCAGGAGTAGCTTGAGGTAGAGTCCTCGTCATCTCGGTTTGTAGTGCCCGTGTAGCCAGAGAAATTATGTCCATAATGGCCATTGTTCTGACCGGCATCACTTGAAGAAAAACTCCCATTGTTGCCGGGGTAGAACTGCTGCGGACCCGATGGACCGAAACCATTTCCAGGGGGATAATTTCCACCGAATCCAGTTCCATTGTTACCACCTCCTCCGCGATCATCACTGCCCCGTCTGCTCAAGCTTGCGCTTGAATTCGTCGAATCGACATTCTTGATACGACAATGGTTGGCAACGCACTTGAAGTACTCCGCCCAGCAGCTTACGGGCTTCCAACATAGCCCGCAATTTCGCGGTGGTCTCTGCCTAATCGCAAATCGATTCACTTGCGCTTGAGACACTTGATATATTCGGTGGGTTCTCATGTGAGGGTAAATCTTATCCCGCCTGTTTGTCCCCCAGTCGCAAATTGGATGGGCTAGGCACAAGTATCGAAACTCTGGGTGATGTTTGTATGAGACGTGGCGCCTGAAAGTACCTCGATCCGCGAATAGTATGTTGTGATTTTCCTTGGGGCAGAGATAGCAGATGTATTTGTCCCCATTGTGCGTGCTACCAGGCGAGTCAGACGAGCCGGGCGAATGAGGTTGATACCCTGTAGTATCGATCTGGCGCTGGACCATTCTAATCAGTGTGTTGTAGCTGGCACTGAGTAGATCTTTTAGCTCATAAAGATGAGCTGCATCTTGCTGGGGGAGTTTTGCCTGAACTGCAGCTGCAAGTTTTGATAGAATAGGATTGAGATCATCGACATGAATACCACCCTGCGTTTGACACATAGGAGGGACTACCAGTGACAATACGTCATCCTCGCCCACAGGTAGTCCCTGTATGCCATTGTCTGTCATCTGCATACCTGCCAGGTCGTTCATTGATTCGTCTGTGAGGAAGCTCGTATCTAGGTGCAGGCCATCGATTGGACTCATACTTCTCGAGGTCGATACTGGCGAGTACGGTGAGGATGGAGCATACTGCTTTATGCCAGAATGTTAGTCTCTGAAACGACGAAGCGCAATCTATTCATCCATTGACTGACTGATGAGGGGGCATAGGGATGAAGACCGGGTACCAGGTAATTCCCTTGGCGTGGTTGAGGGGGAAAGCCCGACCAATGGCCTTGGAAGAAAGCATTTCTGCCGTTTCCCGTGTCATCTCCCATCGATAAATTTTGTTGAACCTTGCGTGATGTGAAGGAAAGCAATATAATTCAGGGTGTGGTAGGGTAAGAATAGAAAGAAGCAAACACAAAAGACGAGATGAGGTCAAGTAAATGTCAGAAGGAACTCTCCGCTGTATCGCTGACAGGTACACAGATATTAAAGAGAGCGATTTTAACAAAGGAAAAAAGAAGTTGCTTTGACAAGCAAGGTCTAATACTTGTAGAAGTCCTTGGTTCTGCGAAGAGTGAAATCCAGCATAAGAAAGAAGAGTAGTTCGGGGGGTGATATTTCCGCCCTTTATATGATAGTAGCAGTGTAGGAGTAGGACGGAGCCATCCATCAAATACGGGCAAACGGGCACCCCCTCGTATTGACCGTTACTATTTTACAGACTAGGTATTGCTTGAGTACCTCTGACTAGTACACCTAGAGTTTGGTGACGTCTGCGCAGTCCCTGGCAGCCTTGTCGGCCATCCCCAGGCACCTTGGCTGGCCGGAACGTCATCGACAACCCAGCAGACCCCCAAGCGATCATGAAGAAGCTTGCTGCCTAAGTTTCAGGACTGAAAAGTCATTAGTGACTGCGGTGTACTGGAGAGAAGAGCTTCTATTCGCGAATTGAGAGCTCGGTCGAGATTTCCCTCGCTTTTGCAACTTCCAGATGTTACTGATGCTCACTTCGAATCACACTGCACTGCCATTCGTCGGTCACTACTAATCAGCCGCTATCTACGGAGTACTTACCTACTCCTGGCAGGATCGCCGCTAGCAAATTTGGCATGGCTGAGGAGCTTCCTACTGCTACGCAAGCTGATACAGTAGCTATTCAAGAGATCTCGAACATCCATGCTTGCCATCATCTATCAAAAGGGAATCTGGTCCATGTTTCAAAATTTGTCCGGCAAGTGGCTCTACAAGCTATCTACCAACAGGAACAATTTTCCGACTAGAATAGAAAGGGTACTAGCCTTACGCTGTCCTAACAACTCTACCGAGAATCGCGATCTAGAACAACCATATCATCCACCATGCCCAACGACAGTACAAGATAATCGACCTGCAGAGTGAGGCGGCATTAGCTCTAATATGAAAACATTCTTCACCGACCAAGTCCGGAGAGCGCCGACTCCCAGAGCACAACCGTTGTAGTTAGCAAATAGTGGATTAGCTGGGGTGAAATTAAGTGTGGCAAATGAGAAGCGGGTGAACGGCCAGGTGAACGTAGGGTCTAGACTAGACATTGGAGTTTTCAAAATCCCCGGAATGGGGACTGTTCAAGCACTGCTACGCCACAACAGGCAGTGAGAAGTTGTCGATGCTCGTCGACAGAAGAAGCACTAAACTCACTTTCACCCTCCATCCGCAACTTACCCCGCTTCTTCTCCGACAAGGCTAGCGTGGTTTTGGCTTCAAGGGCACTCGAACAGGTCAAGACAACAGGCACGAAATTTGATGGTAGATATTTAAAACGCACCAGGACTGCGTGACTTATTCGAGTTGCCTCATTCTGTTCTAAGGCCCCTACTGGACAGATGCTGAAAAGCCTCTTCCCCTGCCCCGAGTTTAGCCGATGCATAGCAATTCTCACAGTAAGACCCGAGGCAATGGCAAAGGAGCAGTGCTGCTCTTTTGTCGGGGCTTAGTAGGGGATGAAGTAATGTCCAGGCACTGCTCTCCCAAACACCGCCCTTCTGCAGATTCGAGGACAACCTGCTATCGGTCCACTAACCCCAAATTGACGTAGGAGCGATGCCAGTTGTGCACTACCCGGGTTTCTCATGGCGGCTGTACAAGACAGTTCATCTCGTTGCGGATTTTTGACAACCGCGGCACCTACGAGCAAAGGTTTGTCCTGAACTTGAGCTTTGAGCTCCAAGCTACCAGTATTGTAGAGGTAGCACCTTGCCCTTCAACTTGTGCTGCGGACACTGTGCCTAGATATCACCAATCACCATCTGTCCAAACGGCACGTAGTATTTTCACTGCCTAGAATTTGCCACTCCAGACCAGTGGTTTGCCAACACAAGCCTATTGCACTGCATGAATCGGGATACGACTTCCGCAAAGCTCACGGTACCTACTATGAGTCAGGCGTCTAGACTGATAGGCAACTAAGCCAAACCATCATTTCCCCTAACACACTGTCCGATCTGGATCACCATGGAGGCTCATTCTCAACTTCTTAGGATGATACCCAACATTCAATCGATTGCCTTGGGTAGCTATCGTGTGTCCCCGACCGTCCCTCTCATCTCACGTAATATGCCTAGTACGGCCAACATATTGGAGGAAACGTACCAAGTACCTCCAGTGCTTGACGGGCATGTCCGTTCAAGGACCATGGTCCGATGCATCCTACGCCCTGGCTATAAACTCTAACGTTGTGCTCGCAGCATGTAGAGTGGATGTCCCGTCGCTTATGCAGACCTTGGTTTTCATAACAGAGCCCCGGTTGTTCGTATGCTGTAACAAGCCCAGTGCCCGTTGGGGAGAGAAAATAAATGGATTAAATCGATTAAAAGAAAAAAAAAAAAAAAACAAATAAATAAATAAATAAATAAATAAGATGATAAATCCCAATGCTCCCATTCGTTCCCATTATGCAGATACACCCGCCCTTTCCCCAACCCATTCATCATTATATCCTATCTCCTACAGGCCGTTCCAGAACCGCAGTTCCCTGCCTTACCTAGTAGTACTATCTACCAATACTATTTGTACCAACCACAGAAACTCTGTTCGACAACTCTTTTGGGAATGATCCTTGCGATATTTTCACGACATAGTTTACCTCTCCGTAACCATAAAGTTCTGACGCTCCTTACCAAGAGGTAGGGCATTTCTTAGCACTCTCATCAGTCTAAGCCACAATAAAAAGTGAGGCGTTCGATGCCTGGGGTTGTGAGAGGTGTAATGGTGCAGTATCCTTTGCACAGCCGCAAAACCTGAGGTCTCGGGCATCGAAGGGTGTAGGACATTGCAGCAATGTCAGCTCTAATAATCAAAGGATCTGTAACATCAAGGCCTGTTCTCCGACTATTTTCCTGTCTGGGTGGTGACCTAGCTCTATCATACTCGTGGTGTATTTTGTGCACTATGCTAGTATCCGGCTATACGCGAAGTCAGAGCCGGACACCAGTCCCACTATGGAAAGAAGTTCGGTCCATAAGCTTCTCTAATCGTAGGTAGGGTCATAGTACACCCCAAAATATTAATGCAAGACGGGCTGCTGAGAAACATCACAAGAAAGAAACAGACCCATCCCAAATTAGTCATATAATTCGTAAGCAAACATACGCCTTGCAACTCCTCCACGTGACACATCCCACATACCATGACTCCCTGCTTGAACGATGAAGGAGAACTAGAGAACAACATGATTGACAACCATAAGCATGCATCTGACAAACACGTGATGTCAAACAGATGCGAAACCCGCAATGTATCAGGAAGCCTGGGTAGTATCCCCAATAGGTTCTCCCAAGATATACCACTGGGCCAGTGATTTAAAGGCATCGGAGTTTCCGTGGCTGAAGTCATACATCTTAGTCGGGCGCAGCACCAGATTCTCACCGTGGAAAAATGCTTCAATCACTCGGGCTTGTAGCCCCATGAGCGAGAATATCAAGACCTGGAGCACACATCAGCTCTGACAAGCGACAAGATTGATTGGTGCAGTCGTTACCGGTGAAACCATTTCATGAATGAACTTCCGCCTCCGAAGCTGTGTCAGCATAATTCGAAGGATTGGCATCAACTCGCCGAAGAGGATTGTGGAATCTGTGGCGACTAGATTATTGTACATGACTGCCTTGACATGTGGACGTCTAGAGCCGTTCAACTCGGCGATACGATAGCACCCGAACTCAGGCTGTTCATACTTGTACAGACTAGATTTTTCAAATGGTGAATCGCCAACACTACATAGCACCCGTTAGTACATATTGCTAGATCACAGGGGGGTGCCTTATTTACCATTTCGAAAACCAGGTAGTCCTATATCCTTCACGGTCGGCCTTCATAGAGTAATAGGTAATGTAAGAAGAGAAGTGAATATCTACCGCATATGCACGATCGATAGGACTGGTGAAAGCTGGCTCCGTTTCTTCGATTAGACCATTATATGGTCCATCAAGGTCATCATCCTTGGGATCTGGAATTGCGTGGTCTTTCGAAGGGGCGAAATAAGATGGTTTGTGTGGTGACGCCTCATCTAGCGACATAAGATTGACTCGAATATTGAGTTTTTCCAATAGCTGTAGGTCTAGTTCATCAACTCGAAGGCTCTTGGTCTTCAGCGCCAAGTCCCTCAGTGCGGCCCTCATTTGGCGGCGGGCTGGAGCTTCCAGCATGGGTGACATGGCGATGGATAGCTGGGCTTTATAAGTTGAGTACAACCGAGAACTTGGATTAACACATATATGGGTGGTTTATGAGACATGAAAAGGGGGATTTTGTGCTCTCTTATGATGTTCCTTTGTCTCCCAGGACGTCGCATTGGAGGTGAACGAACTGTGTTCACTTTGGAAGCAGCAACATTGGTTGCCGGGTAACCAATCAGCGATCCCAGATTCACAGCTTCCTAGTACTACACATTAAGCGCTGTGAAAGCCCCATCAAACCCATTCATCCTACGACTTTAATACCTTGATAGTTTAGCATGTGATGAATGCGACTACATTGAGGGATAAGCATTTCACTTTACTCTACTAGACATGTCGGAAATTCTCTTGAACAGCTATTGGCTTTCTCACATATCACTTTCCTGCTCCGGTTGCTGTTCCTTGCGTATAACATCATATCGCAATCGCTCACCTTGATCGAGCTCCGATTACATTGACCACAGAGAGTTCTCGAAGTGATTTTATGCGCACGACGGTGTCCAAGTGGTCTCTAACTGACACCATGACGACAATATGTTATTGGCCAGGGCCCTTCTAGGATAATGGGGTAGTATACATAAAACTGTCATAGCCAGCGCAAAGCCACTAAGTCGAGCTTTGTATGTGTTGATAGAATATTCATCGTAGTCAGGTACTTCACTAGATCCTCTGTCACTTACATGATCTTTATTCACAGCCTTTCTCTTCCCAATCTTCCTCTCTTTGGGATCTCAAACGTCTAGATGGCCGCGAATATGCAACTGCATCTTCATATCTCGACTTATCTTAATCAGATTCCTGCTCGCCTGCTAGATTGTATCGTCAGTTTCCATATTCCTACATTCCTAAGATCGTCATGTCGGGCGTAACAGACGATCTACCTTCGAATGAGAAGAGATGGGAAGCTGCCATGGCTCGGGTGGGCCTTACAGGCCAAACTATCCATGGCGCAGAGCTGAACTCTGCCTCAAAGATTGAGTACAAACAGTTCTTGCTTCTCCAGGTACTGTGGGAGACGCGCCATATTCAAGATCTGCCGAAAATACTCCCTGAATTCAATAAATGGATCGTGAAGGCAGAGGAAATGCTTCAAGACTACAAATCATGGCAGACATATTGTCAGGAATTCTCATCACAGGATATGGGGGAAGGAAACTTCACCATTGCACGACACTATCAGCTTGAGGTTATAAGCACAAAAGATGAAGTAGATCCGCGGTCACTCGCAACTCCTATTGCACATCGCACACGTGCTCGAGTATTCAGTCGAAAGTTAGCTGATATGTATTTGGAGACGCCCTCAAAATCCAAGAATATCTCCGACTTTCTGGATGTGGAGGATTTAAGTCTCGATACCTCTGAGGACACGCCAGCGAAACCGAGCCCGGAGACCCCAAGTCCACTTCAGGAGACATCACCTCCTTCTAAAGAGCAAGTGAGCGCACTATACCCCCCGACAAGAGATGAACAGATTGTCAATTGCGCCCTTGTCATCTTCATGAATGCTCTGACTGTACCGTTCAAGCTCGCCAACAATTGGACCTTGCACAGAAAGGCTTTTTAAGGCTACTTTTGGAGAGGCTAGTTTTGAAGCCAGAACTGACGGGTATCTCGATGACCGGCAAGGTAACGCTCAGGCCATTATCGAGGTGAAACCGGTCATGCGAGCAAAGAAGTTGGCTGCTATACGAATGCAGGAGAGTGCTCAGATGGTTGCATGGGTCAAAAATGATGGCGTGAAAGCATATGCAATGGACAAAGAGTATGTCAATTATCTCTCAACGACCACGCCTACGAAGCAACATCGAACGCTAACTAAGAAGGCGCTTTCTGGCTTCGCAAGATCGGCACGAGATATTCCTGACGGTTTCTCAATACGACGACGAATACATCAAATTCCTGGAAGACAAGAATCATAGTAGCCAGTCTCGGCCATTTTTAATTATGCGTCAATTTGGTCCCTGGAGTACATTGAACCTGGCCCATATGATGAACATAGCGCCTATTCTGCTTGCAATATCATTACGTGCAAATGCCCAAATCAGACAGAAAAGAGAATTGCTGATTTAAAGGCCTGCTTTTAGGCTGGGCAGTAGCAATGGCAATTCTATGTTATTGATTCGGTGAAAGCAGGCACCTTATTACAGATCCTCCTACATGATTTCTCCCTAATCTTCCTCATCTCCCTATGTTCAGAGCAAGCCTACATATTTTTCATGGGTAATAGAAATAATATTAACTTCCTACTGCCCTTTTGCTCCTTCCTTGGTACTTTTTAGGAAGGCACGTATCTAGGCCGAGCACCATTGGTAAATCTGATTCATCGATTCTATGCTCTAGATCTTATCGAATAATGAGTTGCACTGAGACCTTATTTTATATCCCTTTTAGTGCCACCCATACAGACATTGTTGACGTTGTCGTTGAGCTTGCAAGCCCGTATGAGACATCGGGATTATGCAAACGGTCTTATTTCGCTAATTCATTTAGACCACAAAACTTCGGAGCATTTTCGACGTGGAAATACATGTAGTTCATCTACAACTTGATTTTATATCTTGGCTTAGTATCAAACTTAGCTGGTCATGACTGAGGTTATAATGAGGAACCATACTATTGCACCATTGATTCCATGATATAATTTCATGTTGATTTACACCTAGTGCCAGTGTCCCGTCCCGCTGGATTTTGTTGCCGCGGAGGTTGTGATGAATGTATGAGTAGACTACATTTATGGCAACCCATTGGCACATGATGCTTAGTCGAGATAATTTAGATACCATAGAAAGATTCGTTGACGAAAAGATACGATTTAGAGGTGGTACAAGTTTGATTCTTCTACATCGTCTTCATTGTAGAGTGTGTGGTATATACACAGGATCTCCCGCTCCCAGAAACCAAAAAGCGAGCTGCTTAGTGGGGGTGGTTCTTGTGGTGGCCTGTGAAATAGTAAGTCCTGCTGCACAATACACCAGAAGAATGTAGGGGACGTACGGAGGTGGAAGTAGTACTCCATGCTGTAGCCCAGGATCAGGATGGTACCGATGGCGTGAGCGAGGGCTATCGAGTTGCAATTGATCAGCGTCTTCCACACTGTAAGATATGATCAATAGTGTACTTACGAGCAGCGGAGGGGTTCTTTCCGAAGTAGCGAGCCTGGTAACGACCGATGATGCCGGTGGGCTTAACTTCAGGGGCAGCACCACGGGGGAGTCTGGCGTAGAAGTTCACGACACGGTCCATGCGGGCAGCATCCTTGGCAGCACCGATCGCCTTTTTGACAGTTAGTTGAGTTCAACAGGTATAACGCGCGTTTTGTTGAGTTCCCGAGGTAAAGCACGAAAGAGATTGCTCCGGGCGGTAACGTCTAGGCAGGGTCGGGGAAGATGAAGATAGGGATTCTCACGTTGGGGGAAGCGATCTAAACATCAATTAGCATCAGAAAAAGACATGTTCTTGTCGTTATATCGGTTGTTCCTTACCTTGGGAGGGATCAAGGTCGAGAGACCGCGGCGGGCGATGTAGCTCATCTTGTAGGATCTGTGCGACCCCAAGTCAGAAAAATGTCGGATCAATGATATAAGAGAAGCGAAATGCAGAGCATAACACTAGGAATAACCAGCTTACCTTGACGCTAGCAGGTGAACTAGGACAATGGATAATGACGGAGAGAAGGAAGAAGTGCCAACGAGAAAGCGGGTTGTCGGAAGAGCGGTTCGACGCAGGGAGGCTCATTCAGCTCGCGCTAAACCGCATTCGGACTCGTCTGAAGGCCGGCACTCGCCGCATACCTCAACTTGCAATTGCTCTACCGCAGCACCTTGCTCTCTCGACTCATCCAAGCACAACCTCGCCATCATGTCGCTTGCTAGAGCAGGAAGATTCGCCTGCCTCCGCGCCGGCAGGCTCGCCACCCCTGTCAATGCGCGTTTTGTGTCTACAGGCACCGGTCGAGGCGACCCTTCCCGCACATCCAGCACTTCTGATGCCCCGACTGTTCCTCACACGGAGAGCACCTTGATCCGCAAGGAGAGCCCTTCTGAGGCTATGACCCGTCATCAGCCCGATTACGATGCTACCATTGATCACGGCACCTCGTACGAATTTCTCCCACCTGGCAATGCAATTGGAGTGGTCAAACTGACAAAACGAAACCAGCCAATTCTCCCCTGTGCCCAAGCGCGTCATGGATGGCAGTGAGCCTGGTGCCACTGTTGCTGCCGCTGTTCTGTCCGGCGCTCCAACCGACCTGCAGGCCCGTACTGTCCGGTATGAAGCCCCATAAACGATATCAATCGCCCGCCCGTATCAGTCGCGCTGATCAGTCATTTACAGGATCTACCGTCAAGCGAAGCCCGCAACGCAGTCCGGAACCTGGCACGGTCACCACTGGAGAATGGATTGGGATATCCTGCAGAGGGGTCATCGCTGGGAGAACCCCCTGATGGGCTGGCAATCCTCTGCTGATTGCATGCAGGGTACCCACCTGAACTTCAAGAGCAAGGAGGATGCCATTCTGTTCGCCCAGAAGCAGGGATACGAGTACTTCGTTCAGGAGCCAAATGAGCGTCGCTTCGTTCCCAAGGCCTACGCTAACAACTTCGTCCACGAACCGAAGAAGCTCAAGTACATCAAGACTAAATGATTTGGGTTTCTGGTGTGTCATGTACATAAGTGCAGGTCTTTGTTTAAGTTCTGGGTTGTGCTAGGTGATAAATTCAACTTTCCTAAATGTTACACTTTTTCGCTATTGCAGAGTTTCATTGACATAATCCGGTAAATTCCCGTCTGTCTGCTGGTATGCACTATTGAGTTCATAAATCGATTTAGCGCCAAGCGAGTCTGGAGAAGCTCGACAAGCATTTGGAAGACGCTTGCGCTAGTTCCCAGTATTTTCTGAAGAATAGGCCGCTTTGTGCCTGGTATGACAAGAGTCATTGGTAGCAAATGTCAATATTCATACTCAGTCTTCGTCGGACCGAATATCGAGGCAATAGCGTTACAGTACGGAAAGTTGAGGCTCCATGCACTTTCACATGCTGTGCCTCTCTTCCATGGCAATTCATTCTCAAATCCATTACACTAGCACAGCTGGTAGTGGTCAAGGAACTATTAAGAATGATGTTGCTTTGGCATGCAATCCTTACTAAGGGTGGTGTTAGCCCACTGCGGAGTGACCCTCTGTATATACAGGCGTGCTACAAGTAGTACTTATGAGTGAATAACAGAGAGAATTGAAAATCTTATACAGAGATGTTCACAATATGCCGCAACTCCTTTACATGCTATGAAATGCTTTCAGCAATGATTAAATAGTTGAGCTGCTTCTGATGTAGTCTAAGCGGCATCTTAGAAAGCGAAAATTGTCTACTTTCTCTATTGAGCAAGGCGACTCACAACTAATACCTCATACGGATAAGGCTAAATCCTCCGAGGGCACGAGGAAAGAACGGAGGTTCACCGGGCAGCAGATGAGTAGTATCCAGGCATGCAGCAAGTGGATCTTTCTTTTTTGGCTTTCCCGCGATGACTTGAATTAGGCTTCAGCGGTCTGGAAAAAGGATAGTCAATAGAAATAAAGGTCTGCTCGGAACTGTGCGAAAAATATTTACATAAGGATGCCTTATGACTGTCAATTAGACTATAAGGAACGCTCCTTACGCTCCCACTTTCTCAAAGAAGACAAGCCTCAAAAAATATCGTTCGATGATCACCATCCCGGCAGGAACAGATCCGGCAAAAGACGCCGAGCATACAGTAACCAGAGAGTGGCACAGGCAGATTTACAAAGCAAAAGGCGCCCAGCCACGGCGGTTTGGAACCCCGCCGCCCCCACCTAAAATTTATTATCGGGACGTGATAAGATCGAAAATTTACCTATCGTCGTTCATGCCTGAAGGTCCTCTTTCCCTCTTCTCCCTTCTTTGCCCCTCGTTTCCCGCTGGATCTCGTGAAATTTTGCAAACTAGAAACACTCCTTAATCAATAATCTTTTCTTTTTCTTTATCATGTCTGCTGTCAACGAGAACAACCTGGAGGGCGTGAGTGAGACTGTCCTCACCCTCCGCAAGGTTGTTGTCAATGAATCCGAGCCCCTCGCGCGCCGCTTCCGGGCCCTCTTTTCTCTCAAGTACCTGGCGTGCCTGCAGCCTCCGTCCGAGGACACCCTTCCCGCTATTGAGGCCATCGCTGCCGCTTTCTCATCCAAGTCGGCTTTGTTGAAGCATGAGCTTGCCTACTGTCTTGGTCAGACTCGCAACCCTGACGCTGTCGCGTTCCTTCAGCAGGTTCTGAAGGATAAGGAGGAGGATGTTATGTGCCGTCATGAGGCCGCTGAGGCCCTAGGTGCTCTGGGCTACGAGGACAGTCTGGAGATTCTCAAGGCACTGAAGGATGATGAGAATGAGCCCGAGGTCATTCGGGAGACTTGCGACATCGCCGTGGATCGTATCGTGTGGGAGAACTCCGAAGCCAGGAAGGCTGAGAAGTTGAAGCCTAGGTATGACCTTACTTTTCTTGTCGCAGCCAAGTCATTCGGATTGCATGCTAATTGAGTGCTTCTATATGATATAGTGACTTCACCTCCATCGACCCCGCCCCACCAATGCCCCTGGAAGCCGCAGAACCCTCTATTCCTGAGCTGGAGAAGACATTGCTGGACACCAAGCTTCCTCTCTTCCAAAGATACCGTGCCATGTTTGCCCTGCGCGACCTCGCCTCGCCTCCTGATCTGCCCACCGCCGTTCAGGCCGTCGATGCGCTCGCCAAGGGTCTCAAGGACCCCTCTGCGCTGTTCCGCCACGAGGTCGCATTCGTTTTCGGTCAACTTTGCCACCCCGCATCCGTCCCTAGTCTCACCGAGTGTCTGAGCAACCAAGAAGAAGCTGGTATGGTGCGCCACGAAGCTGCCGAGGCCCTC